TCTGGGTTTGGCGAGTTTGTTATAATTGGTCCTTGAGTTTAATGAAGAGGATTCCTTTCTGTCTTTTGTCCCATTTGTTGTAGAAATGCAAAGTAGTTTCATGCAGAAGGAACCAGGTGTGTCTACGGTCTAGAGAGAGAGAGACCCACTTTACTGAAACTGACTGGTCCAGGGGCAGATAACCGGGATCGTATCATGGTTTTGACTGAGCTGAAGTTGGCTGAAAAGGCACGGTTTAATTGTACAGCACAGTTCATACAGGAGGAAACTCAAAGGGCCGAACAAAACAAGAGAAAATCAATCACACAAGGCATTAATAATCAGAGTAAAGATAAGACCCCTCACTTGTATACGCAGCTAAACAAAACTGTTGGATTAGAATATTGTCAGAGAAGAAGCCTGTCTCACATTTTCAGGAAGATTGTTCCCAATTACAGCTGCATAAATCGGAAAGCTGCCTCCCCGAATGTTTAGTTCTGACTCTGGAACCAGCAGGAGGCCAGTCCCTGTGCTCCTCCGAGTCCCAGCAGGAGGGCGGTCCCTGTGCTCCTCCGAGTCCCAGCAGGAGGGCGGTCCCTGTGCTCCTCCGAGTCCCAGCAGGAGGGCGGTCCCTGTGCTCCTCCGAGTCCCAGCAGGAGGCCGGTCCCTGTGCTCCTCCGAGTCCCAGCAGGAGGCCGGTCCCTGTGCTCCTCCGAGTCCCAGTTGGTTCATATGACATGTCACAGATGTACTTTGGGTCGAGGTCTTGGAGAGACCAGTGCAGAGACCTGAGAACTGGACTAATGTGATGGTACTTCCTGGTTCTAGTCAGGACTGGAGCTGCAGTGGTCTGAATACACAGGAGGACACTGTGACCTTGTGTGTTTCTCAGCAGCCACAGAACCTGATACAGCGGGCTGCATTTGGCCCCTGATCCTGGGTTTGGTCGTTCCTGGTCTCTGGGTGTCACATGGTTCAGTTTATATTTCTGTATAAGTGTAATTCTGGGGGTTCCCTCATATTTCACAACACTACACAATCCATGGCTCACAAAACAATAATATTAAATGTTTTCTGACATTTTAACCTCTCGTCACATAAACGGACAGAAGTGTGTGTCCGTCGTCATTAGCAACAATGATGTAATGTGTTATATCAGTCAGAGCACATTCATTTGCCTCAGTGGAATAGACAGTCAGAGTTGGTGGATCATTTTTTGGACTCAACTTCAAGGTAGCAATATATAATATTTGCAGAGCAAGTCATCATTAAAGGGCCCTAATCTGTCATCATTAAAGGGCCCTAATCTGTCATCATTAAAGGGCCCTAATCTGTCATCATTTAAGGGCCCTAATCTATCATCATTAAAGGGCCCTAATCTGTCATCATTAAAGGGCCCTAATCTGTCGTCATTTAAGGGCCCTAATCTGTTGTCATTTAAGGGCCCTAATGTGTCGTCATTTAAGGGCCCTAATCTGACGTCATTTAAGGGCCCTAATCTGTTGTCATTTAAGGGCCCTAATGTGTCGTCATTAAAGGGCCCTAATCTGTCCTCATTAAAGGGCCTAATCTGTCGTCATTAAAGGGCCCTAATCTGTCATCATTAAAGAGCCCTAATCTGTCATAATAATAAACTGCTCTTTTCCAATCCTTCTTTAACTGATAACAGTAGTTCAGAGATATTTGAATTTCTAAATTACTTTTCCAGCCTCTAAATCTTGATATTGTTTTCCTTTCGATGTCCCGCCCTTCACCGTTTCACCAATCAGAAAGTCTGTGATCCGGGCGCCAGAACTCACCACGTGGAGCTAATCTCACTGGTAAAGTACCATGTGGCGCAGAACTAAAAAAGGTCTTGTTATGATTCTCAAATCATTAACGACAAAACAAGGAATAAAACCAGGATTTCTATCTTTGTGAAAAAGGTGTTGGTTATAGATTTGTTGTTGACAAAACTCTTGTCTATTCAGCTGTTATGGTCCCAGCTGGATTCGTCTGCATATCTGGCAACCTGAGTCAGGGAGAGTGGGAGAGGCTGCAGTACCACTTTTGGCCATATTTTTACATTCTGCTCCTTAAAAAAATATACAAAAAAGTTCCTTAGAGCAGTGTTTTTCAACTTTGCCTTGAGATGTTGTTTGGTTGGCCTTTGGACGGGACTCTAATCAAATCTAATTGGTCAAAATATTGTGAAAATAAAATAATGTAAAAGATTAGAAAGACTTGTTTGTGCTCGTTTGATTCTCTGTATAAACTTTTTGATGTGAAGGACTTTCCGTCGTGAATCATGAATGTAGAGTTTCATTTTTGTTTCAGTTTCTGTGTTGGTGTTTCTGGGGACTTTTTGCAAACTTACTCCAATGTGGTTTTACTGCAAATGGCAAATAAACTGAATCTGTTTACTGGAAAAGGTCTGCCACGGCTCAAAAAAGCAAAAGGTTTGGAAACTCCAGCTTTGTCTCACGCTTTAGTTGTTTGTTAATATTTCAGTTTAGATTATAATGGAAAAGACTCTTCACATTCAGACACAATGACTTTTGGAGCTGTTATAAAAAGGAATCTAAAAATCAAAAAGTTCTCCAGAAAATGTAAAAATCTTGTCCTTTTTCATTTGTTTTAATATTGATTCTTTCTCTTTTGAATATCTAGGTTTAATACTACTTTTTGAATCTATTATTGTCAGTACTTTTGCCAGATTTCTGACATTGTGTGATTTTCTTTCTCTTCTGAAGTGGTTGTTTAACTAATTGCAGACTTTAGGATTTGAAATTGTCGTTAAGTTTGTCTTGAAGGACAAAAGATAGTTTTTACCAAGAGAGGATGAGAATGTGAAAGAACCTGCTGCTTCGTACAAACTGTTTTACAGTGAAGTCCTGTCTGTAAGCAGCACATGTGACTGAAGCAGGTTTCTCTAGAATCTGGTCTGTCGGGAAAGTCACCCAGGACTTCCTCGGTCTGCCTCGGTCTGTCTCAGTCTGGCTCGGTCTGCCTCGGTCTGCCTCGGTCCTCAGTCTCGAGAGACAAATAAATGATCTCTGAATCTTAATTTTGTTAATGAGGCAGCATGAAGGTCCACCTCCCGACTCATGGCCTGTCTGAGTGGAGTTTGCATGTTCTCCCCGTATCTATGTGGGTTAGCTCCTCGTGCTCCGGTTTCTCCTACCACTAAAAACACGTATAATGGGTTTTGACCATGAGCACCAACATCTGAGTCCCCTGTTACTATGGCAACCACGCATTTTCTTATGGGACAAACTAATAACACAAGTTGACAGCCAAAAAATGGTCAGGGGTTTCTCAGACTAATGTTGGTGTTCTGAGTCTGAATATCACATGCATTTGTCTCTATCAGGTCAACTGTGTGAGATACAGCCATAGTGTTACGGATTACGTCTACGTTATTAGGAATTCTGCTTATCAAATTTGATGGAGTAAATAAAAACTGAATGACTTTGGATACGTTGACTTTTATTTGAGGAAAACGGAAAAAACGTCAAGGGTTTCTCAGCTGATGATCCGCAGAAATTTGTTATTTTACGCAAAATCGATTAAAAAAAATATTTCTGTAGCAAAAAATCCTGACCTGATTGAGCAAAACCAAGGTCATTTTCAGACTCAGAGCATCAACATTAGTCTGATTCAGCTGAAAAACCCTGGACTATTTTCAAAACATATTTTTTTGTTACCCAGTGTAATGGATGTTATTATCGGTTACCTGCAGACACAGTTGTTTTGATGTCCCCTTAGTGCAGGCACAGTGTCATCCAGCCAACTTCATCTCCACCAGTATAGTTGAGCTCACAACCTTTGGAATCCAGGTGTTGACTTGTATAAACGGACATTTGTTTTTGGGTGTGTCACAAAGTTCCGTATGTGGAGCTAATGTAGCAGTGGTGATGTCCACGTTTCATTTCCTGTGTTTTAACTGTTTGTCCAACACAGATCAGAGAATCAACAACTTTGTAAAGTCCTCAGATAACTACGTTTTTCATTTAGGGCTCTACAAGAATAAATTGAATTGGTGTGAATCAACAGGGACCTGAGAGACTAGAGAGACAGAGGGAGAGACTGGAGAGACTGGAAAGATACAGAGACTGGAGAGAGAGGGACTGGAAAGAGACTGGAGAGAGGGAGGGAGAGACTGAAGAGACTGAAGAGACTGGAGAGAGAGAGACGGGAGAGAGAGAGACTGGAAAGAGAGAGGGAGAGACTGGAGAGCCTGGAAAGAGACAGAGACGGGAGAGAGAGGGACTGGAGAGACTGAAGAGACTGGAGAGAGAGAGACGGGAGAGAGAGAGACTGGAAAGAGAGAGGGAGAGACTGGAGAGCCTGGAAAGAGACAGAGACGGGAGAGAGAGGGACTGGAGAGAGAGAGAGGGAGAGACTGGAGAGAGAGAGACGGGGGAGAGAGAGAGACTGGAAAGAGACTGGAAAGAGACTGGAAAGAGACTGGAAAGAGACTGGAGAGAGAGAGGGAGAGACTGGAAAGAGACAGACGGGAGAGAGGGAGAGAGAGACTGGAAAGAGACTGGAGAGAGAGGGGGAGAGAGAGACTGGAAAGAGAGACTGGGGAGAGGGAGAAAGAGATTGGAGAGAGAGTGGAGAGAGGCTGGAAAGAGGGAGAGAGAAAGAGGGAGGGAGAGAGAGAGAGTGGAGAGGGATGGGTTGATGATAGAATCCTGCTGATCCCAGGATACACACCTTCTGTTTACCTGGTTTGTTTGCCCAGGCATTTTGGCTCAAATGAACATCCTGCAGCTCACTAATGTGATTTGATAACACAGACAGATCCAAAACAATATGGGAATTCACTGGACTCACTCATTATCAATTTTGATGAATATAAATGTTTTATTTTTTTTATTATTTTTTAAACCTTAAACATTTGTAGCTATATACTTCAATAAATTTGCTTCCATAAATCTTAAACAACATCTGAATTTGTTCTAATTTTTTTTTCCCTTCTAGATGTTTTAATGAGATGACAAAAGCACTGCACTGATTGGACACACAGCACCAAGATGGACCCCCAGGTGTGCCCGCCCCCTCTGCTCAGCGGCCAATCGGTGATCCCGGGCCTGGACAGATCTCCCGCCCACAGCTTCAAACCCGGCCACTCACGGAACAGCAGCACGGGTTCCTCCAAACACTCCAAACAGGTGAGAGCCCAGAGCATGGTGGTCCTCTACCCTACCCTACCCTACCCTACCCTACCCTACCCTACCCTACCCTACTCTACCCTACCCTACCCTACCCTGCTCTACCCTGCTCTACCCTGGTACTAAGTATTTTTACAACTGCTTCTTTACTACTAGCTTCATTATGATGCTAAAGCTAGAGATCTTATACTAGCTTCTTTATTATGCTAAAGCTAGAGATTTTATACTATCTTATTATGCTAACGTTAGAGATTATATTTTATTTTAGTATAGAGTTTTTTCTTGTGTTGTGTGCTCCTCATTCCTACTGTTCTGTAACTTGTGATGCAACACTGACATTTCCCCAGTCAGAGTCTAATTACAGGCCATGGTTACCACAACATAGCATAGGTACAGGATCTAAAGTGTATTGGAAACACAACCAGGTAGATGAAGATTAAGATGAAGAGATCTTTTATTCGTCCCACAGTGGGGAAATGTCAGTGTTGCATCACAAGTTACAGAACAGTAGGGAAGAGGACACAGCACAAGATAAATGGAACAATAACTCTATACTGATTAAAATAAAACAAAATCTCTAACTCTAGCATCAAAGAAACGAGGGTAAAATCTGTATTTGTAACATCAGGATAAAGGAAGAAGAATAAAACATGTACATTTGGCAAAATAAGAGTAGGGCTGGTGGAAACAGGGCTTTACTGTAAGGAAAGTTTGTAACAAGTTTAAGAACAATTGACTGAAGTGTGTGTCTGCTGGTTTCAACACTAACGTTTATGGTCATTTATCACCTCCCTATGGTCCATGTGTTTTATATTCTCTGATTCTCTGATCTGTGTTGGCGATTTCCACGGTCCTCTGGGAAACTTCTGTTGTGATTAAAGAGCAACTAAACACCTGTGCCCAGCCTGACTCCGCCCACATGAAGATTTGAAAATGTTCTCTAAAAAGGGCGTTGCCTGGAGGACTAAGGGACAAGAAGGGGGGCTTAGAGTTGGGCGTGGTCTGGGCTGTGATTGACAGCTCACTTGTCACACACAAAAAACCAGACAGTTGTCATTGCTGCTTAAAGCAATAGTTTACAGACCAGAAAGTCTCATTCCACCCTTGTTTACACACTAAGATAATTTTAAAGCTACACACCTGAACCTAATCACACTCAATAATCTCAGAATCACTCATGTAATTTAATTTTAATCCACTAGATGGCGCCAGAATAATCCAAACTGCAGCTGGGGCGTGTGTGAGAGTTGGATGGGTTCACATCACTGGCTCTGACAGACTGACGTCACACAAAACAACTGATGTCATAGAGAACTTCAGAGTCAATGGAGAGGCCAGAACCAAATTAAAATGTAGTACCACCAAAAAGGTTGAGAGGGCGCCACACAGACGTTTTTTGGCTCAAAAGTGATATTTTATCTAATTTGAACTAAAATGTCAAAAAAATGACCAGGATATGTAGAGAGCACTACAATAAACATATGTATGGAGTTTATGAGTTGAAAAAAGTTGATTTGGCGTTTAGTCGCTCTTTAAGCGCGAGACAAGAATACATTGAACTGAATTGTTTGTGTCTTTTGGATGCGATCTTTGGGTGTAGTCTTGAATCTAGTTTGACATGAGACACACACATATTCATAAATGTAACGTCAACACGATGTGGATTTGAATGAATCGACATGTGCTTCGACTGTCACTTTTACTTTGAGCGTATTTACTATTTACAGGTGTTCTGTGAATCTGTCTGTGTCTTGTCTGTCCGAACGTTATCACTTCAAAAGTCAGACACAAACGCAAAGTTGCCGTGCAAAAGGAAGTGTACTTATTTGTAAAGGCTTCCTGTTTGTTTTTGTCCGTGTGTGTGTCTCTGTCTGTCCCTGTCTTTGTCTCTCTGTCCCAGTCTGTGTCTCTCAGTCTATGTCTCAGTCTCAGTCTCTCAGTCTATGTGTCTCAGTCTATGTGTCTCAGTCTATGTGTCTCAGTCTATGTGTCTCAGTCTATGTGTCTCAGTCTATGTGTCTCAGTCTATGTGTCTCAGTCTATGTGTCTCAGTCTATGTCTCTCAGTCTATGTGTCTCAGTCTATGTGTCTCAGTCTATGTCTCTCAGTCTATGTCTCTCAGTCTATGTGTCTCAGTCTATGTGTCTCAGTCTATGTGTCTCAGTCTATGTGTCTCAGTCTATGTGTCTCAGTCTATGTGTCTCAGTCTATGTGTCTCAGTCTATGTGTCTCAGTCTATGTGTCTCAGTCTATGTGTCTCAGTCTATGTGTCTCAGTCTATGTGTCTCAGTCTGTGTCTCAGTCTATGTGTCTCAGTCTATGTGTCTCAGTCTATGTGTCTCAGTCTCAGTCTCTCAGTCTATGTGTCTCAGTCTATGTGTCTCAGTCTATGTGTCTCAGTCTATGTGTCTCAGTCTATGTCTCTCAGTCTATGTCTCTCAGTCTATGTGTCTCAGTCTATGTGTCTCAGTCTATGTGTCTCTCAGTCTATGTCTCTCAGTCTATGTGTCTCAGTCTATGTGTCTCAGTCTATGTCTCTCAGTCTATGTCTCTCAGTCTATGTGTCTCAGTCTATGTGTCTCAGTCTATGTGTCTCAGTCTATGTCTCAGTCTCAGTCTCTCAGTCTATGTGTCTCAATCTCAGTCTCTCAGTCTATGTGTCTCAGTCTATGTGTCTCAGTCTATGTGTCTCAGTCTATGTCTCTCAGTCTATGTGTCTCAGTCTATGTCTCTCAGTCTGTGTCTATGTCTATGTCTATGTGTCTATGTCTCAGTCTATGTCTCTCAATCTCAGTCTCTCAGTCTATGTGTCTCAATCTCAGTCTCAGTCTATGTGTCTCAGTCTATGTGTCTCAGTCTATGTGTCTCAGTCTATGTCTCTCAGTCTATGTCTCTCAGTCTATGTCTCTCAGTCTATGTCTCTCAGTCTATGTGTCTCAGTCTATGTGTCTCAGTCTATGTCTCTCAGTCTATGTGTCTCAGTCTGTCTCTCAGTCTGTGTCTATGTCTATGTCTATGTGTCTATGTCTCAGTCTATGTCTCTCAGTCTGTGTCTATGTCTATGTCTCAGTCTATGTGTCTATGTCTCAGTCTATGTCTCTCAGTCTATGTCTCTATGTCTCAGTCTATGTCTCAGTATATGTCTCTCAGTCTATGTGTCTATGGCTATGTGTCTCAGTCTATGTCTCTCAGTCTGTCTCTCAGTCTGTGTCTATATCTATGTGTCTATGTCTCTCAGTCTGTCTCTATGTCTATGTCTCTCAGTCTATGTCTCTCAGTCTATGTCTCTCAGTCTATGTCTCTCAGTCTATGTCTCTCAGTCTATGTCTCTCAGTCTATGTGTCTATGGCTATGTGTCTATGTCTCAATGTCTCAGTCTATGTGTCTATGTCTCAGTCTATGTGTCTATGTCTCAGTCTAATGTGTCTATGGCTCAGTCTATGTGTCTATGGCTCAGTCTATGTGTCTATGGCTCAGTCTATGTGTCTATGGCTCAGTCTATGTGTCTATGGCTCAGTCTATGTGTCTATGGCTCAGTCTATGTGTCTATGGCTCAGTCTATGTGTCTATGGCTCAGTCTATGTGTCTATGGCTCAGTCTATGTGTCTATGGCTCAGTCTATGTGTCTATGGCTCAGTCTATGTGTCTATGGCTCAGTCTATGTGTCTATGGCTCAGTCTATGTGTCTATGGCTCAGTCTATGTGTCTATGGCTCAGTCTATGTGTCTATGGCTCAGTCTATGTGTCTATGTCTCTCAGTCTATGTCTCTCAGTCTATGTCTCAGTCTAGGTCTCTCAGTCTAGGTCTCAGTCTAGGTCTCTCAGTCTAGGTCTCTCAGTCTAGGTCTCTCAGTCTAGGTCTCTCAGTCTAGGTCTCTCAGTCTAGGTCTCTCAGTCTAGGTCTCTCAGTCTAGGTCTCTCAGTCTAGGTCTCTCAGTCTGTGTCTATGTCTCAGTCTATGTGTCTATGGCTCAGTCTATGTGTCTATGTGTCTATGTCTCAGTCTATTTGTCTATGTCTCTCAGTCTATGTCTCTCAGTCTATGTCTCTCAGTCTATGTCTCTCAGTCTGTGTCTATGTCTCAGACTGAGCCATAGACACATAGACTATGTGTCTATGTCTCAGTCTATGTGTCTATGTCTATGTCTCTCAGTCTATGTCTCAGTCTATGTCTCTCAGTCTATGTCTCAGTCTATGTCTCTGTCTATGTCTCAGTCTATGTCTCTGTCTATGTCTCTCAGTCTATGTCTCTCAGTCTATGTGTCTATGTCTCAGTCTATGTCTCTCAGTCTATGTCTCTCAGTCTATGTGTCTATGTCTCAGTCTATGTGTTTAACGTGTGTTAAACTAAGCCTAACCCGTGTCAAACTAACCCTCCTGTCCTCTGGGTCAGTCCCGTCACTGGGAGGTGATGGACGACATGCAGCACTTGGACATGCTCCAGGCGGCCGGCTCCTCTCTGGACCTGAGCATCCCGGGCATCTGTGAGGGCTTCCTGATGAAGAGGAGGAAGTACCCGCTCAAGGGCTGGCACAAGGTACACACTTACACTCAGAGACTGGGCCAAACTGGGCCAAACACCGGTGATCTTACTGCACCTTCTCCGCAGTAAGATCCATCGTGATTAGATAAGATACTACTTTTATTGTCTTTCATAGGAGACGTGTGTGTGTGTGTGTGTGTGTGGGGGGGGGGGCAGGGGTTCACATGCTCAACACAGACGCCACAGACATTTGCAAACACCACAGTCCACATTAAACAGACCAGAACAGACTCTGGTCAGAGCACCATCAGAGACCTCTAGGACCAGAACACTTCCTAACTCGTCAATGTCTCCTGCCCTCTATGACTGTCACCTTTTGTGCTTCTGTCTCTTTATCTACTGTACACTGATAAATGTCTACCCTGCCTTGGTGCATGTATGAACAAAAGCCTTCACCAAGTTGACAGTGAACAGGTCCTGCCGACTTCTTCCTTTTGCACCTGTTGTTTTGACTATAATAACATCTTTGGATTTGACCTGACAATGACGTAAATCCTGAAAATAGCTCTCTACCAACTGTACCCGCTCTGTAACGAACTCTGTAAGAACTGAATCTGCTTCTGAACCTGCCTCACGTCTGTCTCATTTTTGACCTATAATGCATCAGGTTTTTTTTAAAGTAGTACTAGAATTTAATATGCTGCTATCCAGAATATATAACAAAATATGTGTTTATAATATTTTGGGTGTTCATTTTGACATGTTCAGATGAATTATGTTAAAAAAACTGCTTTGAAGTGGCACCTTTTCACTTCCGCATAGAAACGCTAGGGGGCGCCAAAATGTCGGCGATGACGTAGGAGAAGGACCTCTCGCAGCAGCAGCAGTCTGGGCTGAATCTGTAGGAGGTTTCACTGTCATCTGAACAACGTATAAACATATTTTCATCAGTTTTGTACATAATAGTGCGCAACTCTTTTAACCTTTTAGCCTTATTTGTGAGATTCAAGCAAACTAGTGTTGGGCAAGTTAGCTAACTCTACTTGATATCATAAAACACTTGCCCAACACTAATTAGCTTGAATCTCACAAAAAAGGTTAAAAGAGTTGCACACTATTATGTACAAAACTGATGTAAATATGTTTATACCTTGTTCAGATGACAGTGAAACCTCCTACAGATTCAGCCCAGACTGCTGCTGCTGCTGTGAGAGGTCCTTCTCCTACGTCATCGCCGCCATTTTGGCTCCCCCTAGTGTTTGTGAAAAGGTCCGACTTCAAAGCTATTTTTTTAACATAATTCATCTGAACATATCAAAATGAATCCCCGAAATATTATAAACCCATATTGTAGTTATATATTCTGGATAGCAGCATATTAAATTCTAGTACTACTTTAATATACTCTCAAAGACGAGCTTGAGTCTGTAGTAAATTTAAGATTGTGTATTTTTCATTTTCATACATGCCTTCACCTGTTTTTATTCTTCTTTGCATCCTAAGCCAAAGCAAGACGCCTTCTCTGAACTGTGCGATACAATAAACTTGCCTTTGCTTGTCAAATTCTTGGTTTGCGACTTCCTGTTACTTAAAATGGCCCTAAAAAGCATTTGATTTCTGACCAGAGAGTGACATCAAGACAGAAACCACCCTACATTTGTTCTATTGTATACCTAAAGTAGTAGTAGTAGTAGTAGTAATGTTTGTTTATATACCGCCTTTTCACTGCAAAGTGCACTCTTTTATTGCACTTGTGGCCATACTTGCATGTTAAAGCCGGATTGCCCCTGTCTGTATGCCCCAGGGCAGCTGCGGCTATAGTAGCAATTATTATTACATGCATTATTATTATTACCCGGAGGCTTAAGTGCAGCCTGATGTTGTTCCAGAGATACTTCCTGCTGGAGAAGGGAGTCCTGAAGTACTCCAAGACGCAGCAGGATGTGAGTATCTTTGTGTTTCTGGGGTGGTAGAGGTGGTGGTGGTGGTGGTGGTAGAGGTGGTGGTGGTGGTGGTGGTGGTGGTAGAGGTGGTGGTGGTGGTAGAGGTGGTGGTGGTAGAGGTGGTGGTGGTGGTAGAGGTGGTGGTGGTGGTAGAGGTGGTGGTAGAGGTGGTGGTGGTAGAGGTGGTGGTGGTAGAGGTGGTGGTGGTGGTAGAGGTGGTGGTGGTAGAGGTGGTGGTGGTGGTAGAGGTGGTGGTGGTAGAGGTGGTGGTGGTGGTAGAGGTGGTGGTGGTGGTAGAGGTGGTGGTAGAGGTGGTGGTAGAGGTGGTGGTGGTGGTAGAGGTGGTGGTGGTGGTAGAGGTGGTGGTAGAGGTGGTGGTAGAGGTGGTGTAGTGACCTGGGTTTGTCTCAGATCCTGAGGGGGAAGCTTCACGGAGCTCTGGACATCAGCCTCGCCGTCATGTCCGTCAACAAGAAGTCCAAACGCATCGACCTGGACGCAGGAGACAACATCTACCACCTCAAGGTACGACCGAAGAGCGCGAGGAAGTGTGGGAGGCATGTTATCTCTCTGGTCTCTCTCTCTCTCTGGTCTCTCTCTCTGGTCTCTCTCTCTCTCTGGTCTCTCTCTCTGGTCTCTCTCTGGTCTCTCTCTCTCTCTGGTCTCTCTCTCTCTCTGGTCTCTCTCTCTCTCTGGTCTCTCTCTCTAATCTCTCTCTCTGGCTTCTCTCTCTCTGGCTTCTCTCTGGTCTCTCTCTGGTCTCTCTCTGGTCTCTCTCTCTGGTCTCTCTCTCTGGTCTCTCTCTCTGGTCTCTCTCTCTGGTCTCTCTCTCTGGTCTCTCTCTCTGGTCTCTCTCTCTGGTCTCTCTCTGGTCTCTCTCTCTGGTCTCTCTCTGGTCTCTCTCTCTGGTCTCTCTCTCTGGTCTCTCTCTCTGGTCTCTCTCTGGTCTCTCTCTCTGGTCTCTCTCTCTGGTCTCTCTCTCTGGTCTCTCTCTCTCTCTGATCTCTCTAATCTCTCTCTCTGGTCTCTCTCTCTCTCTGATCTCTCTGATCTCTCTCTCTGGTCTCTGTCTGATCTCTGATCTGTCTCTCTCTCTGGTCTCTCTCTGGTCTCACTCTCTGGATCTCTCTCTCTCTCTGATCTCTCTCTCTCTCTGATCTCTCTAATCTCTCTCTCTGGTCTCTCTAATCTCTCTCTCTGGTCTCTGTCTGATCTCTGATCTGTCTCTCTCTCTGGTCTCTCTCATCTCCCGCTCTCTGGTCGCTCTCTGATCTCTCTCTCTCTCTCTGGTCTCTCATCTCTCTGATCTTTCTCTCTCTCTCTGGTCGCTCTCTGATCTCTTTGATCTCTCTCTAGCCTCTCTCATGTCTCTGGTTTCTCATCTCTCTCTGGCCTCTCATCTCCCGCTCTCTGGTCGCTCTCTGATCTCTCTCTCTCTCTCTTTGATCTATCTCTCTCTCTCTCTCTGGTCTCACTATCAAGTTAATAACTATCAAAGAATGTTCTGGGAAAACAGGACATTTTCTTATTCATGCGTTTGTCTCTGAGTCACATACCAAGGTCTGTGCTTTTGAGGGATTTTCTAGTTACATTTAGTGCATTTGAAATCTCACACAATCTCAAAGCAGACGTCACAGAAGAACACAAACTAAACTCAGAGAAAACACAAAAGTGAAAATAATTGAACTAAATACCACATAACTGTCCCCTCTCTGTCCCTCGCAGGCAAAGAGTAACGACGTGTTCTACATCTGGCTCACTAAGCTCTGTGCTCACCGGATCTTCAAGAAGAACGAGGCCATGAGCGTCCACCGCGGCGTCCTGCACGCTCTGTCCATCGGCCAGAGCTCCCTGCCCCCCATGTCTGCCCTGTCCCAGCCCCGGAGGTCCACGGTGAGGGGGGTGAGGGTGGAGAGGGGGGTATGAAATATGTTGGTTTCTCTGACGGTTTGTAATTCCTGAGCCATAAACGTGTCTAAGTATGGAGGATGTTGGCCAGTAAAAAGGAATTGGCCTCTCTCTCACTGGTCTGTCTCTGGTCTCACTGGTCTCTCTCTCTGGTTTCTCTCTGGTCTCTCTCTCTGGTCTCACTGGTTTCTCTCTCTGGGTTCTCTCTGGTTTCTCTCTCTGGTCTCACTGGTTTCTCTCTCTGGTCTCACTGGTTTCGCTCTTTCTGGTCTCACTGGTCTCTCTTTCTGGTCTCACTGGTCTCTCTTTCTGGTCTCACTGGCCTCTCTTTCTGGTCTCACTGGCCTCTCTTTCTGGTCTCTTTCTTTGGTCTCTCTTGTATCTCTGGTCTCTCTCTGGTCTCTCTCTCTGGTCTCTTTGCTTTCTCTCTCTCTGGTCTCTCTCTCTCTGGTCCCGCTTGCTCTCTGGTTTCTCTCTCTGGTCTGGTCTCGCTTGAATACAATGGTGGCTTTGTCTGTCTATACCAGGGATTAAAGAGTTCCGTCTAGGTGACGGATTTCCGTCAAATGAAATTGGTCTGAAAAAAAAATAATATATATATATATATAATGATAATAATACACACAATGAAATGATTGATTATAAAAATAAAATATATTAATACATATACGTGTGAATCTGTTATATATATATATATATATATATATCGATGTATAATAATAATTTGAATATAATTGTATTTATATGTATATAGAAATAATAAGTAATATAATGACGAGTGGGCCTTGAACGTGCCGTGGCCACATGAGCGCTCCGCAAATGAATCAAGGCAATGGGACGTAGCTGAGCTCACGCGCAAATGAAGACGCGATGAAGTTAGCATTGGTAACACGGAGGTGAAAGTTTCTGGAAACTGCACGGAGCTTTTGAAAAGGAGAAGAGGAGGAAAATTGAATCTCGAACGGAGCAATAACAGCAGCAGATCCGGACTGGTAAGCTGGGCGCGTAATAGACTAAAGGTAATTAACGTTTACCAAACGCAATGCTATTTACTTAACGGAATGTACAAAACGGACTTTGCTGCGACTGGGAATGCACTTTCCCACACTTCATCTTTACCTGGTGCATCAGCAACAACTGACACTAGGCTTGCTCTGGCGGACCGTGTCTGTGGCTTTATCGCAGAAAATAACGTTCAGAATATCACTACCGCTGGTACATTTATTTAAATCATTTGCAGTTGATCGAAGTGCACTGTGCACTCAAACTTGATAGGGAAACCTTTTTCTTAAATATTGACGTGTCCACAAACAAATGTGGACAGAATTTTATCGTCCTTTTGCAATATTTCGACGAGGACAGAGCTAAAGTGTTGACGCTCCATATCGCCTCAAGTAAAGCTACTCTCACTAATATTCTGTCAAAAAGTTGACTCGTTGCTTGATCCACTTATATTTCATATCAAAATACACTGTATATCTTTGAAGAATTCATTTGAGCTGTATTCAATATACAATTTATTATACAATAATATATTGTAATTAAAAATATAACTTGGTCCTGCATATTACTGTGATTTACTTGTGATAAATTTCCATGCGAAAATTTTCAGTCAAATCTTTTTTTTTTGCTTTAACCCCTGGTTTATACACCATCACTTAATGATGTGGGTTTTTTGGCTCCTGCTGAAATGGAATTCTACAACTTGAGCACGACCTGTTTGGATTCACTGAGGTCTGTGACTTCTGGACGAGACCAGACTTGACACTATTAAAAAAAAAATCACAGGCTGTGTAATGATCTTGGAATTCTGGTCCATTCCTCACAGCCTCCGCACTATGCCAGCTCCGCGAACGCGTACCAGACGGAGACGAGTCCGGCCCCGAGACTGGCCCCGAACCCTGGGGTCAACAGCAAAGTGAACGCCTGGCTCCAGCAGACCCAGGACATCGACGCCACCTCCAACGGTACTCCACGGTTATTGTAGAAGTCTTCTAGGGGAGGGTTAAAGAACTTCAGGACGGCAAGAATATAACAAATGTTTTACTCTGAAAAGGACTATAAGATGTTGTCAAAATCTTGTAGTCAATAAGAAATAAGGCTTTGTATTTTTACTAAATCTGCCTCGCATATCCATCCATGTCTATTTTAAGATCACTCATTAGATTATGTTACAGTAGGTCCCATTCCGTTTTGTCGCCTTTCACGCGTGAATCACACGAGAATCACGTGTGATTCACGCGTCTTTTATTTTCCCCCCTCCCAGTGACGTTGCAATGACCAAAACAACCACCAGGTGGCACTTGTGAGCAGGGTTACATTGGCGAGTTTCTGCCCCGCGCACATCGACAATCTGGTTTAAACGGGCAACTCCTTGTAGCAGGCCAGTCTCTGGAATAACCCGCAGACATTAAAACTACTGCATATAACGTAAACTTTTGCATCACGTTGGTGATCTTTCCAAAAAGAGAGAATATCGTTATGGAAAGAGAAACTATTGGTAATATAACGCTGAACGTTATTTGACTCAAACAGCTCCGCTGGTGTCTCCTCCCACTCAGAAAAAAAGCAGACGCCTTTTCTCTGGCATCTCTAACATTTATAATAAATACATAAATATAACAATCATAATGAAGATGCTTTCAAATAATTTAGCAAGCTGTAATTCATTTATTTCAACTGCCAAACTTCTCTCGCTGCTCCTCTCCTCTCCTCCGCAAATCACTAAATGAGGAAAAGGGAATATTCACTCAATCTATTTTGAATGTTACACATACAATATTAATATAGTCTAAGCACGTGTACCACATGTAGCCCGTGTATTTACCACAGACTGTAAGTATTAAAGTAATGAGGCCCCTGCTTTAGGCCTCTGCTGTGAGGCCCACACCGTCATCAGTCTCGGTGCCTCTGTGTAGATCACACGTCTGTCCTCGGACTGGAGTGTTCTGAGGCTTTAAGCGGGGAGTCAGGAAGGAGCGATCCTGTTTGTCAGCATGATTTTTTTGTTTAACAGCCTCCCTGCGCGATTGCAAATGTACTCAAGGGACTCCCATACCGTGGCTCACATATATAATATTATATAGGGATCAGGAGCTTTCTGACCCGACCCACCCGCACCTGACATGACTCATATTTTTGAGGCATCCAACCCGCCCGAAACCGCGGGACCCGCGGGTTGACTGCGGGTTTCGGGCCGACCCGCGCACCTCGCATGTCCTGTTCAGGGCTGCAGGAGCAATTGTCCATTATTTTAATTGGACTTCTGGTCCATGCACACTGTAAAAAAGATAAAGTTAGTTCAACTCAAAATTTCAAAGCAACCAGCTGCGAAGGATTTTTGAGTTGAAGGCATTAACTTAATTCTTCAAGTTTTGAAGAACTACACTTATTAAGTTGTGTCAGTTAAGTTTTCCAAGTTCTGCCAACTAAGTGTTTAAATTCAAGTTACTGGAAATTTCAAGTCTGTAAAAACTTACTTTTTTAAGTTCAGATTACTGTCCCCTACAATAACTTACTATTTTGAGTTTAAATTAGCCCCCACATTAAAAGATCATGATGTTTATTTATATAGCGCATTTCATGGACCAAGGTCACTTGGGTAGGGGAAACCGGAGCACCCGGAGGAAACCTATGCAGACACAGAGAACATGCCAATTCCACACAGAAAGGCCCTGTTCCGACCGGGATTCGAACCCAGGACCTTCGTGTCAAGAAGCGAGAGTGCTATCCACTCAGCCACCGTGCCGCACACACTGTGAACCAGAGGGGAAACTTAATGTTTCTAAGACTGACCCAGAGAATATAAAGGGCTACTTTGGCTTGGCCCTGTCGATTACGGTTGGTAAAAATAAATACAGTGATTTTTTTGGTCAAATTAGTTTGTTCAAAATGTTGAAAGCAGCTGGTTGCCATAACACATATTTAAATGAGCAAACGCAGATAAGTTGACCTCACTATAGCTCGGTGAACTGTAAAAACGACAACTCAAAATTGTTCACCTTACTCAGATTTTTGCATTCACTGACAATAAAATTTCCAGTTGGAACTGGAACTATCTTGTGAGCCACTTGAACTTTCAGAAGTTCACTACAACTTAAAAGTCAAATCAACTTAATATATCAAATAAGATGAACTTTTCATCAGAAACTTCAGAAAGTGAGTGTCGAAAATCAGACGCATACAGTAGGCAGGGATCTTTGCACACCAGAGCAACCTGGAAGTTTATTCACAACAGGTGGTAGATTCAGGCAGAACAATAAACAGGGAAACATTATATATTGGATATATTGGCGTCAGTCAGCTAAAACAACGGATACACAATCGTAGCAGATATACAATCAAAGAACATTGTGTGTCTTGTACTTCTATTTTATCTTGTTTTTGTACTACTATACAGGCCATGGCCTTCTATTGTTCATAAGTTCCAACTGGCAATTTTATTGTCAGTGAATGCAAAAATCTTAGTAAGGTGAACAATTTTGAGTTGTATTTTTTACAGTCCAGCACCAGAAGTCGCATTAATGGTGAGTGTTATAACAACATTATTTAAAAGAATAAATTCAGAGGCTTATTATATATATGATTCGAAGTTTGCGTGTTGGCCCCTGTTTTGAAAAGAAGGATAGGTTGGCTGCTAACATTTGCATGTATTGATTTGCAAATGTAGGTAATGACTTATAACAGCAGGGGCCTGGGGTGGGCTTTGTTTATTCGTGTGGGGGAGGGAGAGCTGCTTCTGTCCCGTGATTTTTAGCAGTGGTAAAAACCCTGAAGGAGCTAGCTTGTTTTCCATATCTGGACACAGCACATTTAATTGACTCTACTTTGTCTGATTGGTCTTTGAAGGTCTTCTCGTGCTTCGTCTCAAAATGACGCTTAACACTTGAAGTTCTGCACACAACATTTTCACAGCATAAAGTGCACAGAGCACGGTCCTTCACAAACACAAAACCAAACTCTTGTGTCCAGTAGGACAGAAGAGCCGGCCGGCGTTGCCATTGTTTACATATCTTATCACTATCATGCTATCTGTCATTCATTCGGCGCGAAGACAGCTGAGAGGGCGCTAATCCACGTAGTGGTCCTAGTGCCGGCAGCTAAAGCGCACAGACAGAGGCAGATGCTTTTAATAGCCATAAAATGGCCACATCAACATTTCAAAGACTGAAAAACAGCTAGCCTACACATTTAAACTAAAACAAGTGTAGGTTGAGGCAACATCAAATGATCAGATGCATATAGCAGACAGACAGTGACGTGCGGTGAGGATTGTGATTGGGGAGGCACTGACTTTAAATGTCAGATTTACTATCATTATTAAAATAAAATAGCATTTAATCACCCATGCAATAACATTCACAAACTTCCCATGCTGTAAAGATGAGAGAACTAGCTTCTTTTAATAATCTCACAACCAATCTAGTTGCTGACTCTCGGCTCCGCATCAAACAACATCTTTAAGAAGAACAGGTGCGAGAGACGTGAGCAGAGAGAGAGAGACGTGAGCAGAGAGAGAGAGCAGAGAGAGACGTGAGCAGAGAGAGAGAGACGTGAGCAGAGGAGAGAGACGTGAGCAGAGAGAGAGAGACGTGAGCAGAGAGAGAGAGACGTGAGCAGAGAGAGAGAGACGCGAGCAGAGAGAGAGACGTGAGCAGAGAGAGAGACGTGAGCAGAGAGAGACGTGAGCAGAGAGAGACGTGAGCAGAGAGAGACGTGAGCAGAGAGAGAGAGCAGAGAGAGACGTGAGCAGAGAGAGACGTGAGCAGAGAGAGACGTGAGCAGAGAGAGACGTGAGCAGAGAGAGACGTGAGCAGAGAGAGACGTGAGCAGAGAGAGACGTGAGCAGAGAGAGAGAGACGTGAGCAGAGAGAGAGAGAGACGTGAGCAGAGAGAGAGAGACGTGAGCAGAGAGAGAGAGACGTGAGCAGAGAGAGAGAGACGTGAGCAGAGAGAGAGAGACGTGAGCAGAGAGAGAGAGAGACGCGAGCAGAGAGAGAGACGCGAGCAGAGAGAGAGACGCGAGCAGAGAGAGAGAGACGTGAGCAGAGAGAGAGAGACGTGAGCAGAGAGAGAGAGACGTGAGCAGAGAGAGAGAGACGTGAGCAGAGAGAGAGAGACGTGAGCAGAGAGAGAGAGACGTGAGCAGAGAGAGAGCGTGAGCAGAGAGAGACGTGAGCAGAGAGAGAGAGACGTGAGCAGAGAGAGAGAGACGTGAGCAGAGAGAGAGAGAGAGAGGTGAGCAAAGAGAGAGAGCAGAGAGAGACGCGAGCAGAGAGAGACGTGAGCAGAGAGAGAGAGACGTGAGCAGAGAGAGCAGAGAGAGACGTGAGCAGAGAGAGAGAGACGTGAGCAGAGAGAGAGAGACGTGAGCAGAGAGAGAGAGACGTGAGCAGAGAGAGAGAGACGTGAGCAGAGAGAGAGAGACGTGAGCAGAGAGAGAGAGACGCGAGCAGAGAGAGAGAGAGAGAGGTGAGCAAAGAGAGAGAGCAGAGAGAGACGCGAGCAGAGAGAGACGTGAGCAGAGAGAGAGAGACGTGAGCAGAGAGAGCAGAGAGAGACGTGAGCAGAGAGAGAGAGACGTGAGCAGAGAGAGAGAGACGTGAGCAGAGAGAGAGAGACGTGAGCAGAGAGAGAGAGACGTGAGCAGAGAGAGAGAGACGTGAGCAGAGAGAGAGAGAGAGAGACGTGAGCAGAGAGAGAGAGACGTGAGCAGAGAGAGAGAGACGTGAGCAGAGAGAGACGTGAGCAGAGAGAGAGAGACGTGAGCAGAGAGAGACGTGAGCAGAGAGAGAGACGTGAGCAGAGAGAGACGTGAGCAGAGAGAGACGTGAGCAGAGATAGACGTGAGCAGAGAGAGATAGACGTGAGCAGAGAGAGAGATGCGAGCAGAGAGAGAGACGTGAGCAGAGAGAGAGAGAGAGAGGGACGTGAGCAGAGAGAGACGTGAGCAGAGAGAGAGAGGTGAGCAGAGAGAGAGAGAGGTGAGCAGAGAGAGAGGTGAGCAGAGAGAGAGGTGAGCAGAGAGAGAGGTGAGCAGAGAGAGAGTGAGCAGAGAGTGAGCAGAGAGAGACGTGAGCAGAGAGAGACGTGAGCAGAAAGAGACGTGAGCAGAAAGAGAGAGACGTGAGCAGAGAGAGACGTGAGCAGAGAGAGAGGCGTGAGCAGAGAGAGAGAGAGAGAGTGAGCAGAGAGAGAGACGCGAGCAGAGAGAGAGACGCGCGAGCAGAGAGAGACGTGAGCAGAGAGAGAGAGACGTGAGCAGAGAGAGAGCAGAGAGAGACGTGAGCAGAGAGAGAGAGACGTGAGCAGAGAGAGAGAGAGACGTGAGCAGATAGAGACGTGAGCAGAGAGAGAGACGTGAGCAGAGAGAGACGTGAGCAGAGAGAGAGAGACGTGAGCAGAGAGAGAGAGACGTGAGCAGAGAGAGAGAGACGTGAGCAGAGAGAGAGAGACGTGAGCAGAGAGAGAGAGACGTGAGCAGAGAGAGAGAGACGTGAGCAGAGAGAGAGAGACGTGAGCAGAGAGAGACGTGAGCAGAGAGAGAGAGACGTGAGCAGAGAGAGGTGAGCAGAGAGAGAGAGAGGGGAGCAGAGAGAGACGTGAGCAGAGAGAGATGCGAGCAGAGAGAGATGCGAGCAGAGAGAGAGAGAGAGAGACGTGAGCAGAGAGAGACGTGAGCAGAGAGAGAGAGACGTGAGCAGAAAGAGAGAGAGGTGAGCAGAGAGAGAGGTGAGCAGAGAGAGAGGTGAGCAGAGAGAGACGTGAGCAGAGAGAGACGTGAGCAGAGAGAGACGTGAGCAGAGAGAGACGTGAGCAGAGAGAGACGTGAGCAGAGAGAGAGAGACGTGAGCAGAGAGAGAGAGACGTGAGCAGAGAGAGAGAGACGTGAGCAGAGAGAGAGAGACGTGAGCAGAAAGAGAGAGACGTGAGCAGAGATAGACGTGAGCAGAGAGAGATAGACGTGAGCAGAGAGAGAGATGCGAGCAGAGAGAGAGACGTGAGCAGAGAGAGAGAGAGAGGGACGTGAGCAGAGAGAGACGTGAGCAGAGAGAGAGAGGTGAGCAGAGAGAGAGGTGAGCAGAGAGAGAGGTGAGCAGAGAGAGAGGTGAGAGCAGAGAGAGAGGTGAGCAGAGAGAGAGGTGAGCAGAGAGAGACGTGAGCAGAGAGAGACGTGAGCAGAAAGAGACGTGAGCAGAAAGAGAGAGACGTGAGCAGAGAGAGACGTGAGCAGAGAGAGAGGCGTGAGCAGAGAGAGAGAGAGAGGTGAGCAGAGAGACGTGAGCAGAGAGAGAGAGACGTGAGCAGAGAGAGAGAGACGTGAGCAGAGAGAGAGCAGAGAGAGACGTGAGCAGAGAGAGAGAGACGTGAGCAGAGAGAGAGAGAGACGTGAGCAGATAGAGACGTGAGCAGAGAGAGACGTGAGCAGAGAGAGAGAGACGTGAGCAGAGAGAGAGAGACGTGAGCAGAGAGAGAGAGACGTGAGCAGAGAGAGAGAGACGTGAGCAGAGAGAGAGAGACGTGAGCAGAGAGAGAGAGACGTGAGCAGAGAGAGAGAGACGTGAGCAGAGAGAGAGAGACGTGAGCAGAGAGAGACGTGAGCAGAGAGAGACGTGAGCAGAGAGAGACGTGAGCAGAGAGAGAGAGACGTGAGCAGAGAGAGGTGAGCAGAGAGAGAGAGAGGTGAGCAGAGAGAGACGTGAGCAGAGAGAGATGCGAGCAGAGAGAGAGAGAGAGAGACGTGAGCAGAGAGAGACGTGAGCAGAGAGAGAGAGACGTGAGCAGAAAGAGAGAGAGGTGAGCAGAGAGAGAGGTGAGCAGAGAGAGAGGTGAGCAGAGAGAGACGTGAGCAGAGAGAGACGTGAGCAGAGAGAGACGTGAGCAGAGAGAGACGTGAGCAGAGAGAGAGAGACGTGAGCAGAGAGAGAGAGACGTGAGCAGAGAGAGAGAGACGTGAGCAGAAAGAGAGAGACGTGAGCAGAGAGAGAGAGACGTGAGCAGAGAGAGAGAGAGACGTGAGCAGAGAGAGAGAGAGAGAGGTGAGCAGAGAGAGAGAGAGAGAGGTGAGCAGAGAGAGAGAGAGGTGAGTAGAGAGAGAGACGCGAGCAGAGAGAGACGCGAGCAGAGAGAGACGTGAGCAGAGAGAGAGAGACGTGAGAGAGAGAGCAGAGAGAGACGTGAGCAGAGAGAGAGAGACGTGAGCAGAGAGAGAGTGAGCAGAGAGAGAGAGAGGTGAGTAGAGAGAGAGACGCGAGCAGAGAGAGACGCGAGCAGAGAGAGACGCGAGCAGAGAGAGACGTGAGAGAGAGAGCAGAGAGAGACGTGAGCAGAGAGAGAGAGACGTGAGCAGAGAGAGAGAGAGCGTGAGCAGAGAGAGAGAGACGTGAGCAGAGAGAGAGAGACGTGAGCAGAGAGAGAGAGACGTGAGCAGAGAGAGAGAGACGTGAGCAGAGAGAGAGAGACGTGAGCAGAGAGAGAGAGACGTGAGCAGAGAGAGAGAGACGTGAGCAGAGAGAGAGAGACGTGAGCAGAGAGAGAGAGACGACTGAGCAGAGAGAGACGTGAGCAGAGAGAGACGTGAGCAGAGAGAGACGTGAGCAGAGAGAGAGAGACGTGAGCAGAGAGAGAGAGAGGTGAGCAGAGAGAGAGAGAGGTGAGCAGAGAGAGACGTGAGCAGAGAGAGACGCGAGCAGAGAGAGACGTGAGCAGAGAGAGACGCGAGCAGAGAGAGACGCGAGCAGAGAGAGATGCGAGCAGAGAGAGATGCGAGCAGAGAGAGAGAGAGAGACGTGAGCAGAGAGAGAGAGACGTGAGCAGAAAGAGAGAGAGGTGAGCAGAGAGAGAGGTGAGCAGAGAGAGACGTGAGCAGAGAGAGACGTGAGCAGAGAGAGACGTGAGCAGAGAGAGACGTGAGCAGAGAGAGACGTGAGCAGAGAGAGACGTGAGCAGAGAGAGAGACGTGAGCAGAGAGAGACGTGAGCAGAGAGAGACGTGAGCAGAGAGAGAGACGTGAGCAGAGAGAGAGAGACGTGAGCAGAGAGAGAGAGACGTGAGCAGAGAGAGAGAGACGTGAGCAGAGAGAGAGAGACGTGAGCAGAGAGAGAGAGACGTGAGCAGAGAGAGAGAGACGTGAGCAGAGAGAGAGAGACGTGAGCAGAGAGAGAGAGACGTGAGCAGAGAGAGAGAGACGTGAGCAGAGAGAGAGAGACGTGAGCAGAGAGAGACGTGAGCAGAGAGAGACGTGAGCAGAGAGAGAGAGACGTGAGCAGAGAGAGACGTGAGCAGAGAGAGATAGACGTGAGCAGAGAGAGATAGACGCGAGCAGAGAGAGAGATGCGAGCAGAGAGAGAGATGCGAGCAGAGAGAGAGATGCGAGCAGAGAGAGAGAGAGAGAGACGTGAGCAGAGAGAGACGTGAGCAGAGAGAGAGAGACGTGAGCAGAGAGAGAGAGACGTGAGCAGAGAGAGAGGTGAGCAGAGAGAGAGGTGAGCAGAGAGAGAGGTGAGCAGAGAGAGAGGTGAGCAGAGAGAGAGGTGAGCAGAGAGAGAGGTGAGCAGAGAGAGGTGAGCAGAGAGAGAGGTGAGCAGAGAGAGAGGTGAGCAGAGAGAGAGAGACGTGAGCAGAGAGAGAGAGACGTGAGCAGAAAGGGAGAGGCGTGAGCAGAGAGAGAGAGGCGTGAGCAGAGAGAGAGAGGTGAGCAGAGAGAGAGAGAGAGGTGAGCAGAGAGAGAGAGACGCGAGCAGAGAGAGAGAGACGTGAGTCCGCGTGTCTATGGTCCGCGCTCGGAGCCCAGACGGCAGTGCGTTCACTGAGCTGTCAGAGCGGGGGTCACAGCAGCTGCTCTCGGGGCCAGAGCGGAGGATGTAACGTAACGTTCGGTTTATCAAAACATATCACAATATTTAACGTATAACACTAGTGAATTTCACCTAGATTTTTTCAGACATTAAAGACAAGATGTTATATAATAATTGTTTAATGAAAAAACAATTTTGCCACAAGCAACCAAAAGATGTGCCTCAGACAAGAATCGAACCTGGGTTCTCCAGGTCCTTGTATTTAATGCTAACCATTCGGCCAACATAGCACCTCTGGGCTAGACAGGTTTGCACGCAGTCTTATACCTGAGCGTCTAAGTCGCTGGCAGAGCTAAAGCGGACTTAGCCTGCCACCTTGTGGCGATAAGATGTACTATTTTTCACGCAGCTGCGTGATTCCCGAGAAGCGTGAATGAAGACGACAAAACGGAATGGGACCTACTGTAGACCTCCGAAGCTAAGCAGGGCAGCGCCTTGTTAATTCTTTGATGGGAGACCTCTGGCAACACCAGGTGCCACAGTGGGGCGGAAGGAATTGCCTCTCTCACTCTCTCACTGGTTTCTCTCTCTGGTCTCACTGGTTTCTCTCTCTGGTCTCACTGGTTTCTCTCTCTGGTCTCACTGGTTTCTCTCTCTGGTCTCACTGGTTTCTCTCTCTGGTCTTACTGGTCTCTCTCTCTGGTCTCACTGGTCTCTCCTGTCTCTCTCTGGTCTCGTATCTCTGGTTTTTCTCTGGACTCACTGATTTTTCTCTCTGGTCTCACTGGTTTCTCTCTCTGGTTTCTCTGTGGTCTCTCTTGTATCTCTGGTCTCTCTGACACCAGGTGCCACAGTGGGTCGGCTGCGGCTGTAAAGTGTCAAACTGTGGTTGTGTCCTTAGGCAAGACACTTCCCCCACATTAGAATGAGTCTGGTGTGTGTGTGAATGGTTGGTGGTGGTGGGAGGGGCCGATATTATCCCCACTGTGTATAGTGCGAGAATGTCATGTGCAGCGTCTGAGCGTCCAAAAGCAGGATATAAAACTGATCTTTTCTCATAGATCATGTAAAATAGTGCGTTTGTGTAAATGTCTTGCTCTGATTGGCTGATCCCTCAGAGCTGGCTCGCTGTCAGGCCGAGCTCGCGGACATGGCTCAGCTGATCCAGAGGCTGCACTGGCTCGAGGGAGGTCTGCCCATCACCAGCACCGACCTGGAGATGCGGATCAGCATGCAGGTACTGGTACCACACACACAGGTACTACACACAGGTATCACACACACAGGTACCACTCACAGGTACTACACACACAGGTACCATACTCACTGGTGCCACACACCGGTACCACTGTCACACACAGATACTACACACAAGTACCACTCACACAGGTACCACTGTCACACACACTACATACAGGTACCACACATAGGTACCACAGACATGTCTCTCTGGTCCCTCTCTGGTCCCTCTCTGGTCCCTCTCTGACCCCTCTCTGGTCCCTCTCTGGTCCCTCTCTGGTCCCTCTCTGGTCCCTCTCTGGCCCCTCTCTGGTCCCTCTCTGGTCCCTCTCTGGCCCCTCTCTGGTCCCTCTCTGGTCCCTCTCTGGTCCCTCTCTGGCCCCTCTCTGGTCCCTCTCTGGTCCCTCTCTGGCCCCTCTCTGGTCCCTCTCTGGTCCCTCTCTGGTCCAGTGTTGACTTGTGTCTCTGTATCGTTCCAGAACCTGACCCTGGAGAAGCCAAAGAAGAAAGGAACCAAGGGCTTTGGTCACTCCAGGACTCTGTCCCGAGTGGAGGCCATGGGAGAGATCGTACGTTTATACTTTATACTTTACACTTTATACTTTACACTTTACACTGAGTCACATCATCTTTGAAACCACTTTTTAGGATCAGAGGGTTTTCATAAATCCCCTTTTCGTTTATAGTTTACAAAGAAGTCTAAAATAAATCCAAATATGAACGAATTTGCGGTAACACTTTAAATGTTTATAGAAGGATGATCATTACTCAAAAATAAAGTTTAAAAACAAGGTGCAGTACAAAGTTACTGTAGAGTGTTTAAGATATTTAGCAGCAACGTTAAAAAGAGCAATACAATTTTCAAACAAAGAACATGGCAAGAAATGCAATGATAAAACACATAGAGCCATTGGTCCATAAGGAGCAGAGACCAATGTCCATAAATGTGGATACATTTCCTCACTGTCGGACACATGTCGGATTTATCTGATCTTAAATGTTGAACTTTCAAACCACAAAATGTTACTTTTATGGTCCTTGTTCACCTTTTCCCAACAAGCTTTCAAACCGTTCTATGTTTTAATCATAAAAGCAGTGAGAGAAGGTCATGAGAATGTTGTGTGGTGTGAGTGCTCTGCTGCAGGCGTGTTGTTTAACCCTGTGTCCTCTCGCAGTATCCTGCAGGCAGCCTGGGCGGCCCCTCCAGCCTGGGAACCTCGGTGCCCTCCCTCCCTGGGTACCTGTACTCCCAGCTCTCCAAGCCCCAGGCCTCCTCCCCAGAGGCCCAGAAGCTGCACACGGAGATCTGCGCCGCGTCACAGAGAGGTCAGAACTTTAAACACACTTTTAATGGAGCAGAATGTAAAAATGTGGCCAAAAGTGGTACTGCAGCCTCTCCCACTCTCCCTGACTCAGGTTGCCAGATATGCAGACGAATCCAGCTGGGACCATAACAGCTGAATAGACAAGAGTTGTGTCAACAACAAATCTATAACCAACACCTTTTTCCTTGTTTTGTCAATTTGAGAATCATAACAAGACCTTTTTTAGTTCTGCGCCACATGGTACTTTACCAGTGAGATTATCTCCACGCTGTGAGTTCTGGCGCCCGGATCACAGACTTTCTGATTGGTGAAACGGTGCAGGGCGGGACATCGGAATGAAAACAATAACAAGATTTAGAGGCTGGAAAAGTAATTTAGAAATTCAAATATCTCTGAACTACTGTTATCAGTTAAAGAAGGATTGGAACAGAACAGTTTATTATTATGACAGATTAGGGCCCTTTAATGAGGACAGATTAGGGCCCGTTAATGGTGACAGATTAGGGCCCTTTAATGATGACAGATTAGGGCCCTCTAATGATGACAGATTAGGGCCCTTTAATGATGACAGATTAGGGCCCTTTAATGATGACGATAAAGGCCCTTTAATGATGACAGATTAGGGCTCTTTAATGATGACAGATTATGGCCCTTTAAAGGCGCTATACCCGTTTCTGCAATGTTTGAATGTTTAGCACCGCCCCCAACTCGCTCAATGGCTTCTCATTTCCCCTACGCTCTCATAACACAGAGCCACCTAGTTTTATTTGCGATCTGATACATATGCTAACATTAGCATTAGCGCAACTTCATGTGAGCTGTGCAACAATCACTGATGAAATGGCACTAAAGCAACGCACTGCTAACACAATATATAAGTAAAATAATGCCGCTAGTTTTGCGTCCGAATGTATCAATTTAAAACCTTAGAATATATTCTAATATTTAATTATAATTTGTTATAGAGCTCCTCAAAGCAGCAGCAGCCATTCTTCCGATAATTTTTTCTTGATAACAGAACTCTCAAACCAATAATGACCGAAGCCCCAATGCAACCTCTGTTTGTAATTCAGGTGTGTAAAATACTGCCATTACTCTGCAAGTACAACAAGCTATCAGCGCCTGTCACTACATTGTGCAGTTTTTCTGCACACTTGTCTGTGTAGAGAAGCCAACGGAGCTAGCGGAGCTAGCCACGCTCAATAAACAACTACATATCTATCAATCAACACCATTAAACGTCAATCGGACAATACAGTATACATATACATCCTTAACACACATGCACGGATGATTTCAGAATTTGCTGTTAACGTTTTCATGACAAAAATACTGTTTCAATGTGACAAAAAGCGATTGCGAAAAACCCGGAAGTTACCATGAAACAACTAGCTAGCTTAGCTGTTACCTGCCTAGCACGTCCCGGTGAAACCTTTTGGGAGCTAACTATTTTATTTGCAGTCATTAAATACATTTCGAATTACAAGGGTTGTCTAATATTTGTTCACATTTTTTTATTCAATTATTTTGTTCATCATTTTTTATTTTAGAATTATATTCAAATTTTGAAGTCGAAGCCCTGGTGTTAAGCAGCGCTGTAGTGACTAGAGGACTCAGGCTGTAGAGACTAGAGGACACAGGCTGTAGAGACTAGACACGGCGTAGAGACTAGAGGACACAGGCTGTAGAGACTAGAGGACACAGGCTGTAGAGACTAGAGGACACAGGCTGTAGAGACTAGAGGCACTGTAAGACTAGGACACAGGCTGTAGAGACTAGAGGACACAGGCTGTAGAGCTAGGACAGGCTAGAGACTAGAGGACAGGCTGTAGAGATAGAGACTAGAGGAGGACAGGCTGTAGAGATGTAGAGACTAGAGGACACAGGCTGTAGAGACTAGAGGACACAGGCTGTGAGACTAGAGACTAGTAGAGACACAGGCTGTAGAGACTGTGTAGAGGCTAGAGGACACAGGCTGTAGAGACTAGAGGACACAGGCTGTAGAGACTAGAGGACGCAGGCTGTAGAGACTAGAGGACACAGGCTGTAGAGGCTAGAGGACACAGGCTGTAGAGACTAGAGGACACAGGCTGTAGAGGCTAGAGGACGCAGGCTGTAGAGACTAGAGGACACAGGCTGTAGAGGCTAGAGGACACAGGCTGTAGAGACTAGAGGACACAGGCTGTAGAGACTAGAGGACACAGGCTGTAGAGACTAGAGGACACAGGCTGTAGAGACTAGAGGACACAGGCTGTAGAGACTAGAGGACACAGGCTGTAGAGACTAGAGGACACAGGCTGTTCACTGCTCGTTCTGTGATTGGAGGAGAACGTCCCGCTAAGACTCTACTCAGCACTTTTCACTGCTTGTAATTCTTACACAGCTGAATCAATTACCTCAAGTTTTTAATTAAATTATGTATTATGATACAACTTGTATGTAGTAAAAAGCATTTTTATGAACTACTTAGAAAAAAAATCGGGTATAGCTTCTTTAACTCATTGACTGCCAGCCTATTTCAGAACAGGTACTCCCATATTGCCAGCCGTTTTTGATGATTTTTACTGATTTTTCAAGACCCACAGAATATTGTGTACTATGACTATCTGAAATCTGACACCAGATTCTGAAAGAATGGACTGTCTACTAGCTTATTTCGTTCCCCTGTAATCCTCCATCGAGTAGAGGGAAGTTTTACTGAAATCACCAGAAAGCTGAAACATGTGCATCTGGCTGTTTTCAAACCATTCATAGAGAAATGCTGCCACCTGCTGGCTCGATAAAATATGGTCTCAAGCCATCCCCATACATGTTAGATACAATAGACATCTGGGAACGTAAAAATAGCGGGACACATCCAATTGACGTCAATGGCAGTTAATGAGGACAGATTAGGGCCCTTTAATGATGACAGATTAGGGCCCTTTAATGATGACAGATTAGGGCCCTTTAATGATGACAAATTAGGGCCCTTTAATGATGACAGATTAGGGCCCTTTAATGATGACAGATTAGGGCCCTTTAATGAGGACAGATTAGGGCCCTTTAATGATGACAGATTAGGGCCCTTTAATGAGGACAGATTAGGGCCCTTTAATGATGACAGATTAGGGCCCTTTAATGATGACAGATTAGGGCCCTTTAATGATGACAGATTAGGGCCCTTTAATGAGGACAGATTAGGGCCCTTTAATGATGACAGATTAGGGCCCTTTAATGAGGACAGATTAGGGCCCTTTAATGAGGACAGATTAGGGCCCTTTAATGAGGACAGATTAGGGCCCTTTAATGAGGACAGATTAGGGCCCTTTAATGATGACAGATTAGGGCCCTTTAATGAGGACAGATTAGGGCCCTTTAATGAGGACAGATTAGGGCCCTTTAATGAGGACAGATTAGGGCCCTTTAATGAGGACAGATTAGGGCCCTTTAATGAGGACAGATTAGGGCCCTTTAATGAGGACAGATTAGGGCCCTTTAATGAGGACAGATTAGGGCCCTTTAATGAGGACAGATTAGGGCCCTTTAATGAGGACAGATTAGGGCCCTTTAATGAGGACAGATTAGGGCCCTTTAATAATGACAGATTAGGGCCCTTTAATGATGACAGATTAGGGCCCTTTAATGAGGACAGATTAGGGCCCTTTAATGAGGACAGATTAGGGCCCTTTAATGAGGACAGATTAGGGCCCTTTAATGAGGACAGATTAGGGCCCTTTAATGAGGACAGATTAGGGCCCTTTAATGATGACAGATTAGGGCCCTTTAATGATGACAGATTAGGGCCCTTTAATAATGACAGATTAGGGCCCTTTAATGATGACAGATTAGGGCCCTTTAATGATGACTTGACATGAAAATCTTACATATTGCTACTTTAATTATCCAGACATCTGATGTGGAGAAATGGACACGTTACATTTGGCGTCAATAGGACCAGTCGGGGTGTGCAAAAAACAGGAAATGTGAAAAACAGTGAAAAACATATTCATGGATTCTTCTGTGCAAATCCTACCAACACATTCTGGTCTGATTTTAGAATGAAATCATGAATCGTGTTTATTCCCAGAGAAGCGTGGCCTAAAAGTGTGTGTCTTTGTGTGTCTGCAGTGCATTCGTCTCTGTGCTCCGTCCACGAGGTCCTGAGTCTGGAGCGAGAGAGACTGCGACAGGCCTGGACCGGACCAGACCTGAGACAGACCACCACGGACCAGCTGGCCACGCTGTGTAACACCATCTCTGAGGTACTGCTACTACTACTGCTACTACTGCTGCTACTACTGCTACTACTGCTACTGCTACTACTACTGCTACTACTGCTGCTACTACTGCTACTACTGCTACTACTACTGCTACTACTGCTACTACTGCTGCTACTACTGCTACTACTGCTACTACTGCTACTACTGCTACTGCTACTGCTACTGCTACTGCTACTGCTGCTACTACTGCTACTACTGCTGCTACTACTACTGCTACTACTACTGCTACTACTGCTACTGCTACTGCTGCTACTACTACTGCTACTACTACTGCTGCTACTACTGCTACTGCTACTACTGCTGCTACTACTACTGCTGCTACTGCTAGTACTACTGCTACTACTACTGCTACTACTACTACTACTGCTACTACTACTACTGCTACTACTACTACTGCTACTGCTACTACTCCTACTACTACCACAACTACTGCTACTACTACTCCTGCTACTGCTACTACCACAACTACTCCTACTGCTATGTCTATCTGTTATTGGTCAAACTACTGCAGTACGTAACTATCTCCGTGCTCTCCCAGAGCCCACACGCCAAAACCAACCGTGCCATCTCCTCTCTGCTGTTGTGAATAAGTTAAAATGTAATTTTAGCCATTTACAGCTAAAACATCTGAACATTTTGAATTGTTTGACATTTGGATGCAGTTGAGTCGTCATTCTAATAGAACAGGGGTGTCAAACTAATTTTGGTCGGGGCCGAAACAATAACAGATTTCCTTTTCTTTTATTTTATGAAGGTATTTTAACATGAAATTAATGTGACATGAGTTCACTGTTTTTTTTCTGGTGTATTTTCTGAAAACAAAATGGGTTTATTGTTTAGATTGAACCAAAACTGGATCAAATCTAGCCTGGTCGTACCACACCATAGTACAGATTACATTTCATACTAAAGGTCTGGATTTGCTCCATTGACTCCGTGAACAGGTGGGAGGGGCTAACTCCTTTTGCAGATTGAAACGATTGGATCTGAGTTTACCGTGACGTATGTAGTGCGCCCGAGTCTGTTGTTAGCATTTAGCCTAGCTATCTCCTTTGCTGCTAACGGAGCCCGTGGGGAGTAGCGCCTCAATCATGACCAGCGATTACATTTGCTAAACCTTCCTCTTGCTCCTGCTTCAATTTCTTGATAGAACCAGACCGGATTACTTTACTATCGCATTCTTCGCCATCGCCAAACTACAACCTGTCAGTTCGGAGCAAACTCTTGACCGGCACCGACCTACAACACCCGCCTTCCGCGCTCTCTGAGTAGCCGGTTGAAATACGACCGATTGTATTCGCTAACACAGGGACCAGACCCAGACGTTACATGCAGTGAAATGATGATAGAGCGGAGTGTACGGATAGATAAAGCCAGGCTAGGATCAAATCTAAAGTTAAACACATTTTATATTGCACTATTTAACTTCTAATGATGTGTTTTTGGGTTAAAATGTTATGAAAACAACCAAATTTAGTGTTTTCCTGAGAAAACAAGATTATGTATAACCTGCTTTGGTCGCCCATTACCATCAACGCTGCTAGTTAATAATAATAAAACATTATTTTGGGGGGCACAAAAAATTGTCTTGCGGGCCGGATTTTTTGACACCCATGCAATAGAAGATCCTGAAGGAGTTAAAACACTTACTGAATGACTTTACTTTCTCACACACGTAATTCAAGTGCAAACGCTGGTCCTGTCTAAACTACAGAGTCTAGTGTGGGTGAATGTCCCAGTTTGGAGCAGACAAAAGGGCCCATCCCTGAGTGTGTGGTGAAACCCGGGAGCAGGTTGGGTCTGTTTGGTTTCCCTGGTTTCCTCCCGACAAAAGACTCGACAGCGCTCCGAGTGTGAGCCCGGAGCCGGTTTGGAACTGGTTTGAGCTTCAGCTGCTCAAAGTCTTGTGACGTAAAGAAGTGCGGCTCCTCGAATTTCAGAAGGAAATGGACACGAGCCAAATCTGTCGTCGCACCTGCTTCTCCAGATTCACTCCAAATATGATCAAACACAAAAACACCGGCATTTTTCCTTTCTGCTCCTTCGTGATTCAAATATAGAAAGATATCTGTCATTGAAAGCTTTGAATGTTCTTTTAATACATATGTCCTGGGTTCGATTCCACTTCCAGGCCTCTCTGTGTGGGTTAGGCCTAGGTTGCATGTTCTGCCTAGGTTTCCTCCAGGTGCTGCGGTTTCCCTTACCACTTAAAACATGTACATTAGGTCTGACAGGCGACCGCTCCTCCCATCTCTGGAGTAAGAGACAAATGCCCATAAACAATCGTACAGCGCTGTGTGACCTTGATGGGGCCTCTCTGTGTGGAGTTTGCTTGTTCTCGCCGTTTCTGCCTAGGTTTCCTCCAGGTGCTCCGGTTTCCGTTACCACTAAAAAACATGTACAATAGGTCTGTCATGCGTCACTGGTGTACAGGCGACCGCTCCATCTCTGTGGAGTGAGAGACAAAAACAATTGTACAGCGCTTTGACCTTTATGAGGCCTCTGTGGAGTTTGCTTGTTCTCCCTGTGTCTGCTTCGGTTTCCTCCAGGTGCTCCGGTTTCCCCTATTACTAAAAACATGTACAATAAGTCTGAGTGTAATAGAGCGAGTGATGGAGGCTTCGATGGTTCTGTCCTCAGTGTGTGTGGAGAGGATGGACATGTATCTGTGAAATGCGCTATATAAATAATTACTCCCACTTGACATTGTGTAAGGACCATAGTACACTGGACATGGGTTTGAGTCCCCACAGGCTTCAGTGCTGTGTCTGCATGTGCTCTCCTGGGACATTAGCCCGTTTCCACCAGCCCTACTCTACTCTACTGGTTGTGTTTCATTTACGCTTTAGTGCCTGGTACTGTATTCTAGCCACGCACCCACAACAAAAAGTATGTAGGGAAATTCCTTGGTAACCATGGCTTCCAGCAGCACTGTCAGATAGAACTACGTTAGTACCTTCTTGGCCTGGATAGAACCAGGCCAAGAAGGCACTAAAAAGTACTTGGTGTACTGGTTAAACTGGTTTGTGTGGCGCCACCTGCAGGTGAAAGCCAGATCATGTCAGACCTCTGAAGCTAAGCAGGACAGGGCCTGGTTAGTACTGTGATGGGAGACCTCTGGGAACACCAGGTGCCACAGTGGGCCAGCTCGAAAATGCCAAACTGTGATTGTGTCCTTAGGCAAGACACTTCGCTCACATTAGAATGAGTCTGGTGTGTGAATGGTTGGTGGTGGTGGCGGTCATTCGGTCTGTCAGTGTGCCGTAGGGCAGCTGTGGCTACAGAAATGTATCACCACTGTGGCTACATGAATGAATGACGTGAAGCGTCTGAGTGTCCATAAAAAGCGCTGTATAAAACGTATGCATTATTATAAACAGCTAGTTAAACGCTGCCAATCAGTAGGGCATGGCTGGGTAGGGCTGGTGGAAACGGGGCTTTTAGTGAATACAGCTGCATGAGTGGGCTCGTGTTTAGTGCATGCTGAGCTGACGCCGTTTGTTGCTGTGTCTGTAGCTTGACATTCAGTCGCGCCTGACCAAAGTGCACTCGTTCTCCCTGTCCTCTGACTCCTCGGACGAATCCTTCTGTACCGTCCAGCAGGTGTGTACTGTGCCGCTCTGTGCCGCTCTGCACACGGGGCCCACTGGCTTTGCTTCACGCTGCACACATTTTGAATAAGAGAGGACCGGGATGGAGGCCAGAAGTTAAAATGTACAAAAGCCAAGATTATGTTAAAATGACGGTCGGCATACGGAATCAGGACGGAAGCAGAAGTAACAATCCTACTTTCAAATTAGTTTTAGTCTAATTAGTGGTGACGGGTTAAGTTTTAGGTGTCTGAGCAAGATGGTTAAGGTGGTCTGAGTAAGATGGTTAGGGTTAAGGTGGTCTGAGTAAGATGGTTAAGGTGGTCTGAGTAAGATGGTTAGGGTTAAGGTGGTCTGAGTAAGATGGTTAGGGTTAAGGTGGGTCTGAGTAAGATGGTTAAGGTGGTCTGAGTAAGATGGTTAGGGTTAAGGTGGGTCTGAGTAAGATGGTTAAGGTTTGGGTTAAGGTGGGAATGGCTGGTTAAGTTTAGGCATGGATCTATTAGTTTAGGTAGTCGGTTATATTTACTTCCGTTCTGATTCCGTATGTGATCTAGTGCCAACCTTAAAATGACCAAATGGAACTTCCTTATGTTAGATCTTTCCAACAAATGCCAACGCCCTCCATCTTAAACTCTGGTCGTTTTTATTCAGAATGCACTTTGAGTTGAACACAACCCACCGGAGGAGTATGGTCCTGATGGGTCTGGGTCTAAGCACTTTACTCACCTCACTAACAGGAGCCGGTGGAGGGAGCACTGGTGATGAGGACTCAGCACTTCACTGCCAAACCTTCTGCTTTCAGTTTTAAATGTGCTTCTTTTCTTTCAGTGAAACGTGAGATTTATGTTATTTTGATGTTTTTGGGAAGTGGGAAAATCGCAAACCTGTCCGAGTAAAGGCGACCCAAACCTGTCCGAGTAAAGGCGACCCAAACCTGTCCGAGTAAAGGCGACCCAAACCTGTCCGAGTAAAGGCGACCCAAACCTGTCCGAGTAAAGGCGACCCAAACCTGTCCGAGTACAGGCGACCCAAACCTGTCCGAGTAAAGGCGACCCAAACCTGTCCGAGTAAAGGCGACCCAAACCTGTCCGAGTAAAGGCGACCCAAACCTGTCCGAGTAAAGGCGACCCAAACCTGTCCGAGTAAAGGCGACCCAAACCTGTCCGAGTAAAGGCGACCCAAACCTGTCCGAGTAAAGGCGACCCAAACCTGTCCGAGTAAAGGCGACCCAAACGTGTCCGCGTAAAGGCGACCCAAACCTGTCCGAGTAAAGGCGACCCAAACCTGTCCGAGTAAAGGCGACCCAAACCTGTCCGAGTAAAGGCGACCCAAACCTGTCCGAGTACAGGCGACCCAAACCTGTCCGAGTACAGGCGACCCAAACCTGTCCGAGTACAGGCGACCCAAACCTGTCAGAGTAAAGGCGACCCAAACCTGTCAGAGTAAAGGCGACCCAAACGTGTCCGCGTAAAGGCGACCCAAACCTGTCCGAGTAAAGGCGACCCAAACCTGTCCGAGTAAAGGCGACCCAAACCAGTCCGAGTAAAGGCGACCCAAACCTGTCCGAGTACAGGCGACCCAAACCTGTCCGAGTACAGGCGACCCAAACCTGTCCGAGTACAGGCGACCCAAACCTGTCCGAGTAAAGGCGACCCAAACCTGTCCGAGTAAAGGCGACCCAAACCTGTCCGAGTAAAGGCGACCCAAACCTGTCCGAGTAAAGGCGACCCAAACCTGTCCGAGTAAAGGCGACCCAAACCTGTCAAACTAATTAAATCCACTTAGTCCACTAACTCGTATGACAGTGCTTCCCAAACAGAGGTGCAGCAACCACTGGACGGTGTCTTCTTTATGAAACATTATTAACACAGATTATTTTTCTCTTGAATTATATATTACTGCATCAGGGAATGTTTTTATCTTTTAACAGCTTTTGTTTCAGGCATGTTTGAGTCATTCATATTCTCAGGAAAGTTTATTTGTATTCATACACTGGGCATTAAATCGCAGTATGTTAAAGATAAAAATCCTTCAGAACAAAACCGTTTTAACCTGGATTTGAACATTGTCAGAAGAAGCCTGTCTCACATTTTCAGGAAGACTGTTCCAGTTTTTAGCATGAATCTGAAACGCTGCCTCTGTTTACTTCTGACTCTGGGACCAGCAGGAGGCCAGTCCCTGTGCTCCCCAGTCTGTGTTGGTTCATAGGGATCTTTCACCTGAAACACTTGTCACTGGGTGATGCAGATGAGTTACACAGGGATTTTCTGCTGATGTGAAAAGGGGCGGAGCTACAACTATAATGATGTAAACCTGCAGCAGGAAAAACCTTTGCATTTAGAATTTTACACAAAGAATGCTTTGGTCACTGTTTGCATAATGTTTTTTTTCTTCCTTAACCCACTTCTGCTAAAACCTGATCCGCCCTAACCCAGTGCTCTTCAAACCGGTCCACAAAGAGCCTGGTTTGGTTGGAATGAAAACCTGGAGCCACAGCAGACTTTTGTGGACCGGTTTTGACGACTGTCATAATAAACATTTGGCAAAGTGTGGTACCTTGGTGTCTCCTCTGTCTCCTAAGCCCTCTGACGGTCTGGTCCCTCCCCCTCCTCCAGACCCCGTCCCTGAGCCGCCACAACCAGCGCCCGCCGTCCGTGGCAGAGTCCCTGGCAGAATACTACGACGCCAGTGAAGTCATCATCTGTGAGAGCTCCTCTGAGGCCGAGGCTTCAGACGAGTCCGGTCTCAGTGACATCACCACCACCAGCACCTCCGAGCCTGAGGAGGGGCACTGTGAGTATGAGGCCTCTGCAGACGGAAGGAGCAGAGATGAGATGGGATGGACTTTATTGATCTCACACAGGAGAGTTCGGCACAGATAGAATCATTCAGATTTGTGCAAAAGACAGAAGTGTGAAACATGTTAAAGGCAAAAAGTATAGTCTGTTCAGGATATAATTATCTACAGTAAAAAGTGGCGATGTTTAATTGCCACTTTTTGGCAATAGTAGTACAGGTTTTTTAGTCCTTGTGCAAGTGACTTATTGTACAGCGGGCAGGGACCTAATGTGTGTGTGTTTGTGTGTCTGCGTTTGTGTGTGTGTTGCAGCTGCTGTCACGCTCAGCTACAAGGACAGCCTGAACAACGCCCCGGACAAGCGGCCGGTCCGCACTGACACCGGTGAGACACACACCTCCTCCTCATTTCTCCAAGACGCTAACATTATTTAAACATTAACCTTTTCAATGTTTAGATGAAAAGTGAAAAGAAAACTGCCTGGAATTCATGTTAAATTTAAAACAGTAGAACTTAGTTGGTGTTAACAGCCAAAGCACAATCAAGTCTATAGACTAGATTTAAAAATTCTCCAATGGGGCGAGAGACTCGAGCCCAAAATAAAAAATGTTTGGGATGCATGGGCTTACCATCGGTATCGGTATTGTTTGCTTTGTTAACTACCATCGGCAAATGACATTTGCCGATGGTAGACGCGCGCAAAGAGATACCGGTAGAGGGCAATATTTTACAATATCAGAAAAAGGTCAGTGTGAGGCAGTTTGTACGACATGTTCCAGTGACGGGCACTTGCTGTTTTTTCTCTGTACGTTCAGTGAACAACATCTGAGTCACTTTAACTGCAAACACCGTAACGTGGCTGTTCCCGGCTTGTTTAAAATGAGATTCTTTGCATAAACTGTGCCGCTTCAAGAAACCGCGCCTCAGGATCGGTCCGTGTCGTGTCTCCCCCGTGTCTCCCCCGTGTCTCCCCCGTGTCTCCCCCGTGTCTCACCCGTGTCTCACCCGTGTCTCCCCCGTGTCTCCTCAGTGTCTCCCCCGTGTCTCCTCAGTGTCTCCCCCGTGTCTCCTCAGTGTCCCCCCGTGTCTCCCCCGTGTCTCCTCAGTGTCTCCCCCGTGTCTCCCCCGTGTCTCCTCAGTGTCTCCCCCGTGTCTCCTCAGTGTCTCCCCCGTGTCACCCCCGTGTCTCCTCAGTGTCTCCCCCGTGTCTCCCCCGTGTCTCCTCAGTGTCTCCCCCGTGTCTCCCCCGTGTCTCCTCAGTGTCTCCCCCGTGTCTCCTCAGTGTCTCCCCCGTGTCTCCTCAGTGTCTCCCCCGTGTCTCCTCAGTGTCTCCCCCGTGTCTCCCCCGTGTCTCCTCAGTGTCTCCCCCGTGTCTCCCCCGTGTCTCCTCAGTGTCTCCCCCGTGTCTCCCCCGTGTCTCCCCCGTGTCTCCTCAGTGTCTCCCCCGTGTCTCCCCCGTGTCTCCTCAGTGTCTCCCCCGTGTCTCCTCAGTGTCTCCCCCGTGTCACCCCCGTGTCTCCTCAGTGTCTCCCCGTGTCTCCCCCGTGTCTCCCCGTGTCTCCTCAGTGTCTCCCCCGTGTCTCCCCCGTGTCTCCTCAGTGTCTCCCCCGTGTCTCCTCAGTGTCTCCCCCGTGTCTCCTCAGTGTCTCCCCCGTGTCTCCTCAGTGTCTCCCCCGTGTCTCCTCAGTGTCTCCCCCGTGTCTCCCCCGTGTCTCCTCAGTGTCTCCCCCGTGTCTCCCCGTGTCTCCCCCGTGTCTCCTCAGTGTCTCCCCCGTGTCTCCCCCGTGTCTCCTCAGTGTCTCCCCCGTGTCTCCCCCGTGTCTCCTCAGTGTCTCCCCCGTGTCTCCCCCGTGTCTCCCCCGTGTCTCCTCAGTGTCTCCCCCGTGTCTCCCCCGTGTCTCCTCAGTGTCTCCCCCGTGTCTCCCCCGTGTCTCCCCCGTGTCTCCTCAGTGTCTCCCCCGTGTCTCCCCCGTGTCTCCTCAGTGTCTCCCCCGTGTCTCCCCCGTGTCTCCCCCGTGTCTCCCCCGTGTCTCCTCAGTGTCTCCCCCGTGTCTCCCCCGTGTCTCCTCAGTGTCTCCCCCGTGTCTCCCCCGTGTCTCCCCCGTGTCTCCCCCGTGTCTCCCCCGTGTCTCACCCGTGTCTCACCCGTGTCTCCCCCGTGTCTCCCCCGTGTCTCCCCCGTGTCTCCTCAGTGTCTCCCCCGTGTCTCCTCAGTGTCTCCCCCGTGTCTCCTTTTTGCCATTTGCCAAATTAAAGCTCGGTACCTACATTTTTCCAGAATTGACATGCATGTTGATTGTGCTCAAAAATGTTGTAAACAAATCAAACAGAACAAACCACAACAGATGTCCCGTTTCTCTTGCAGACTTGAGAGCCCTGTCAGTCATTGTTTGACCTTTTGGGCAGAGAGTGGACTTTTTTTTCCCACAATGTTAGTTTCACTTTATGGCCAAACTTTTGTTAACTCATTGTATTGAGAAATATTTGTTATTCTCACGTTCTTAGGTTGTTGTGTTACTGCTCGTGTAGTTGTGTTACTGCTCGTGTAGTTGTGTTACTGCTCGTGTAGTTGTGTTACTGCTCGTGTAGTTGTGTTACTGCTCGTGTAGTTGTGTTACTGCTCGTGTAGTTGTGTTACTGCCTGTGTAGTTGTGTTACTGCTCGTGTAGTTGTGTTACTGCTCGTGTAGTTGTGTTACTGCTCGTGTAGTTGTGTTACTGCTCGTGTAGTTGGGTTACTGCTCGTGTAGTTGTGTTACTGCCTGTGTAGTTGTGTTACTGCTCGTGTAGTTGTGTTACTGCTCGTGTAGTTGTGTTACTGCTCGTGTAGTTGTGTTACTGCTCGTGTAGTTGTGTTACTGCTCGTGTAGTTGTGTTACTGCTCGTCTAGTTGTGTTACTGCTCGTGTAGTTGTGTTACTGCTCGTGTAGTTGTGCTACTGCCTCTGTAGTTGTGCGACTGCTCGTGTAGTTGGGTTACTGCTCGTGTAGTTGTGTATCCTCTGGTGTAGTTGTGTTACTGCTCGTGTAGTTGTGTTACTGCTCGTGTAGTTGTGTTACTGCTCGTGTAGTTGTGTTACTGCTCGTGTAGTTGTGTTACTGCTCGTGTAGTTGGGTTACTGCCTGTGTAGTTGTGTTACTGCTCGTGTAGTTGTGTTACTGCTCGTGTAGTTGTGTTACTGCTCGTGTAGTTGTGTTACTGCTCGTGTAGTTGGGTTACTGCTCGTGTAGTTGTGTTACTGCCTGTGTAGTTGTGTAACCTGTTGTTGTGCGCAGGCCGCCGCACCGTGCTTCCCGCTCCCTGCGCAGACAACAGCCACATCGGCGTCATGTCCATCCTGTACAACAACATCGGGAAGGACCTGTCCCGGATCTCGATGCCTGTGGAGCTGAACGAGCCGCTGAGCCTCCTGCAGCGGGTCAGCGAGGAGCTGGAGTACTCCGAGCTGCTGGACACGGCTAACCACACCGAAGACCCGTACGAGAGGATGGTACGCTAACACGCACACACTGTCACACCGAAGACCCGTACGAGAGGATGGTACGCTAACACACACACACTGTCACACCGAAGACCCGTACGAGAGGATGGTACGCTAACACACACACTGTCACACCGCAGACCCGTACGAGAGGATGGTACGCTAACACACACACTGTCACACCGAAGACCCGTACGAGAGGATGGTACGCTAACACACACACACGCACTGTCACACCGAAGACCCGTACGAGAGGATGGTACGCTAACGCACACACTGTCACACTGAAGACCCGTACGAGAGGATGGTACGCTAACGCACACACTGTCACACCGAAGACCCGTACGAGAGGATGGTACGCTAACACACTGTCACACCGAAGACCCGTACGAGAGGATGGTACGCTAACACACTGTCACACCGAAGACCCGTACGAGAGGATGGTACGCTAACACACTGTCACACCGAAGACCCGTACGAGAGGATGGTACGCTAACACACACTGTCACACCGAAGACCCGTACGAGAGGATGGTACGCTAACGCACACACTGGAGCCCAGAACACAAACACAAAGTTTATTTGTATAGCACAGATGTTACACAAAGCAACTCAAAGTGCTACAAAACAAGAAACAGGTCCCTTTGTGTTCAGGTCCCTCTGACCTCTCTCTCTGTGTTCAGGTCCCTCTGACCTCTCTCTCTGTGGTCAGGTCCCTCTGAGGTCCCTCTGACCTCCCTCTGTGTTCAGGTCCCTCTGACCTCTCTCTCTCTGTGTTCAGGTCCCTCTGACCTCTCTCTCTCTGTGTTCAGGTCCCTCTGACCTCTCTCTCTCTCTCTGTGTTCAGGACCCTCTGACCTCTCTCTCTCTGTGTTCAGGTCCCTCTGACCTCTCTCTCTCTGTGTTCAGGTCCCTCTGACCTCTCTCTCTGTGTTCAGGACCCTCTGACCTCTCTCTCTCTGTTCAGGACCCTCTGACCTCTCTCTCTCTGTTCAGGTCCCTCTGACCTCTCTCTCTCTCTGTGTGTTCAGGACCCTCTGACCTCTCTCTCTCTCTCTCTGTTCAGGTCCCTCTGACCCCTCTCTCTCTCTGTGTTCAGGACCCTCTGACCTCTCTCTCTCTCTCTGTTCAGGTCCCTCTGACCTCTCTCTCTCTGTTCAGGTCCCTCTGACCTCTCTCTCTCTCTGTGTGTTCAGGACCCTCTGACCTCTCTCTCTCTCTCTCTCTCTCTCTCTGTTCAGGTCCCTCTGACCCCTCTCTCTCTGTTCAGGACCCTCTGACCTCTCTCTCTCTCTGTGTTCAGGACCCTCTGACCTCTCTCTCTCTCTGTTCAGGTCCCTCTGACCTCTCTCTCTCTGTGTTCAGGTCCCTCTGACCTCTCTCTCTCTGTTCAGGTCCCTCTGACCTCTCTCTGTGTTCAGGTCCCTCTGACCTCTCTCTCTCTGTGTTCAGGTCCCTCTGACCTCTCTCTCTCTGTTCAGGTCCCTCTGACCTCTCTCTGTGTTCAGGTCCCTCTGACCTCTCTCTCTCTGTGTTCAGGTCCCTCTGACCTCTCTCTCTCTGTTCAGGTCCCTCTGACCTCTCTCTGTGTTCAGGTCCCTCTGACCTCTCTCTCTGTGTTCAGGTCCCTCTGACCTCTCTCTCTGTGTTCAGGTCCCTCTGACCTCTCTCTCTGTGTTCAGGTCCCTCTGACCTCTCTCTCTGTGTTCAGGTGTATGTAGCAGCCTTTTCCATCTCCGGTTATGCCTGGGCGTCTTGGAGGAACCGTTACAAACCGTTTAACCCGGTTCTGGGAGAGACGTACGAGAGCGTGAGGGAGGAACGCGGCTTCCGCTACATCAGCGAGCAGGTACTGGTCTATGTCAGCGAGCAGGTACTGGTCTATGTCAGCGAGCAGGTACTAGACTGTGTCAGCGAGCAGGTACTGGTCTATGTCAGCGAGCAGGTACTGGTCTATGTCAACGAGCAGGTACTGGTCTATGTCAGCGAGCGGGTACTGGTCTATGTCAGCGAGCAGGTACTGGTCTATGTCAACGAGCAGGTACTGGTCTATGTCAGCGAGCGGGTACTGGTCTATGTCAACGAGCGGGTACTGGTCTATGTCAGCGAGCAGGTACTGGTCTATGTCAGCGAGCGGGTACTGGTCTATGTCAGCGAGCAGGTACTGGTCTATGTCAGCGAGCGGGTACTGGTCTATGTCAGCGAGCGGTACTGGTCTATGTCAGCGAGCAGGTACTGGTCTATGTCAGCGAGCAGGTACTGGTCTATGTCAGCGAGCAGGTACTGGTCTGTGTCAGCGAGCAGGTACTGGTCTATGTCAGCGAGCGGGTACTGGTCTATGTCAGCGAGCAGGTACTGGTCTATGTCAGCGAGCGGGTACTGGTCTATGTCAGCGAGCAGGTACTGGTCTGTGTCAGCGAGCAGGTACTGGTCTATGTCAGCGAGCGGGTACTGGTCTGTGTCAGCGAGCGGGTACTGGTCTGTGTCAGCGAGCAGGTACTGGTCTATGTCAGCGACCGGGCACTGGTCTATGTCAGCGAGCAGGTACTGGTCTATGTCAGCGAGCAGGTACTGGTCTATGTCAGCGACCGGGTACTGGTCTATGTCAGCGACCGGGTACTGGTCTATGTCAGCGACCGGGTACTGGTCTATGTCAGCGACCGGGTACTGGTCTGTGTCAGCGACCGGGTACTGGTCTGTGTCAGCGACCGGGTACTGGCCTGTGTCAGCGACCGGGTACTGGCCTGTGTCAGCGACCGGGTACTGGCCTGTGTCAGCGACCGGGTACCGGCCGTCTCTCTGCAGAATGATTTTTATTGACGTTGTAAGAAACAGGCGTAGATTGTCCTTTGATGTGTGGTGCAGAACAATAAATACAGTGCCTTGCGAAAGTATTCGGCCCCCTTGAACCTTTCAACATTTCTCCACATTTCAGGCTTCAAACATAAAGATATAACAAATTTTGTCATGAATCAACAACAAGTGGGACACAATCGTGAAGTGGAACAAAATTTATTGGATAATTTAAACTTTTTTAACAAATAAAAAACTGAAATGTGGGGCGTGCAATATTATTCGGCCCCCTTGCGGTAATACTTTGTAGCTCCACCTTTTGCTGCAATTACAGCTGCAAGTCGCTTGGGATATGTCTCTATCAGTGTTGCACATTGAGAGACTCGAATTCTTGCCCATTCTTCCTTGCAAAACAGCTCGAGCTCAGTGAGGTTGGATGGAGAGCGTTTGTGAACAGCAGTCTTCAACTCTTTCCACAGATTCTCGATTGGATTCAGGTCTGGACTTTGACTTGGCCATTCTAACACCTGGATACGTCTATTTGTGAACCATTCCATTGTAGATTTGGCTTTATGTTTTGGATCATTGTCCTGTTGGAAGATAAATCTCCGTCCCAGTCTCAGGTCTTTTGCAGACTCCAACAGGTTTTCTTCCAGAATGGTCCTGTATTTGGCTCCATCCATCTTCCCATCAATTTTAGCCATCTTCCCTGTCCCTGCTGAAGAAAAGCAGGCCCAAAGCATGATGCTGCCACCACCATGTTTGACAGTGGGGATGGTGTGTTCAGGGTGATGAGCCGTGTTGCTTTTACGCCAAACATATCGTTTTGCATTGTGGCCAAAAAGTTCGATTTTGGTTTCATCTGACCAGAGCACCTTCTTCCACATGTTTGGTGTGTCTCCCAGGTGGCTTGTGGCAAACTTTAAACAAGACTTTTTATGGATATCTTTGAGAAATGGCTTTCTTCTTGCCACTCTTGATTTGTGCAGTGCACGACTGATTGTTGTCCTATGGACAGACTCTCCCACCTCAGCTGTAGTTATCTGCAGTTCATCCAGAGGGATCATGGGCCTCTTGGCTGCATCTCTGATCAGTCTTCTCCTTGTTTGAGATGACAGTTTGGAGGGACGGCCGGCTCTTGCTAGATTTGCAGTGGTCTGATACTCCTTCCATTTCAATATAATTGCCTGCACAGTGCTCCTTGAGATGTTTAAAGCTTGGGAAATCTTTTTGTATCCAAATCCGGCTTTAAACTTCACAACAGTATCTCGGACCTGCCTGGTGTGTTCCTTTGTCTTCATGGTTCTCTCTGCGCTTTAAACAGAACCCTGAGACTATGAAAGAGCAGGTGCATTTATACGGAGACTTGATTACACACAGGTGCATTCTATTTATCATCATCAGTCATTTAGGACAACATTGGATCATTCAAAGATCCTCACTGAACTTCTGGACTGAGTTTGCTGCACTGAAAGTAAAGGGGCCAAATAATATTGCACGCCCCACTTTTCAGTTTTTTATTTGTTAAAAAAGTTTAAATTATCCAATAAATTTCGTTCCACTTCACGATTGTGTCCCACTTGTTGTTGATTCATGACAAAAAATTGAAATGTTATATCTTTATGTTTGAAGCCTGAAATGTGGCGAAATGTTGAAAGGTTCAAGGGGGCCGAATACTTTCGCAAGGCACTGTAAAACTGAGTAAATAGATCCAAAGACAATCTTGGATCAAATTCTCTTACCAGTGCATTTGTGTGGCTGAGTGGTTAGCACTCTGGCTTCTCAGCAAGAAGTCTCTGTGTTCGAATACCGGACAGAAGAGGTGGAGATTGCATCTTCTCCCCTTGTCTGCAAAGGTTTCCTCCAGGTGCTCCGGTTTCACAAAGGACACATTTCAGCACGAGTGTGTGTCTTATACTTAGTCAATGAAAATTAGTGGTTATGTTATGTGTGGTTGTTGTGTGTTGCAGGTGTGTTGTTGTTGTGTTGTGTGTTGCAGGTGTGTTGTTGTTGTGTTGTGTGTTGCAGGTGTGTTGATGTGTTGTGTGTTGCAGGTGTGTTGCAGGTGTGTTGATGTGTGTTGTGTGTTGCAGGTGTGTTGATGTGTATTGTGTGTTGATGTGTGTTGTGTGTTGCAGGTGTGTCATCACCCTCCTCTCTCGGCGTGTCATGCAGAGTCTGAGAACTTCACTTTCTGGCAGGGTGAGTCCTGAAGCATCTACTGCAGCCTTTTACAGAAGATTATAATCTGTGTGTGTGTGTGTGTGTGCGCGTGTCTGTCCCTGTGTATCTGTGTGTGTGTGTCCCTGTGTGCGTCTGTCCCTGTGTGTCTGTATAGACCAGAGGTGGAAACACAAATTCTGGGGCAAGTCTCTGGAGATCGTCTCGTCCGGACCAGTCAACGTCAAACTGCCAAAGTAAGAAGAAACGAATGTCTAGAATATGAGCTCCTGGATCCAGAGCACTTTCTGTACAGTGACCTGGCTTCACACAAACTTTAGCAGTCCTCTATCATCCATAACGTTTCAGAGCTCCATCATTTGACTGTTTTGAATAAATAATATAGTCAGATGTAACAGGGATGACCAGAAATGTTCAGATCTATAAATGTCCTGGATCATTTCTGTCCTTTGATTCTCCTGCATCAGAGAGAAACCGCTCAGAAAAACACAAACTGTGGGGGAGAAAAAGTGAGAAACCTCTGGGACGCCCATATTGAGAGAGGGATCTGCTCCAACAGATGGACTGAGGCCGCAGACCCAGGGACTGAGGCCGCGGGCCCAGGGACTGAGGCCGCGGGCCCAGGGACTGAGGCCGCGGGCCCAGGGACTGAGGCCGCGGGCCCAGGGACTGAGGCCGCGGGCCCAGGGACTGAGGCCGCGGGCCCAGGGACTGAGGCCGCGGGCCCAGGGACTGAGGCCGCGGGCCCAGGGACTGAAGCCGCGGGCCCAGGAACTGAGGCCCCAGGGACTGAGGCCGCGGGCCCAGGGACTGAGGCCGCGGGCCCAGGGACTGAGGCCGCGGGCCCAGGGACTGAGGCCGCGGACCCAGTGGACTCTAATGTGTTTTTGTGTGTGTTGCAGGTACAATGACCACTACGAGTGGAACAAAGTGGTGACCTGCATCCACAACGTTCTGACCCAGACTCGGACTCTGGAACACTACGGGGAGGTTCTGATCACCAACAAGAACAGTGACGTGTGCAGCTGCAAGATCTCCTTCGTCAAAGTACGACTCCCGGACCACAAAGAGACCTCTCCTCCTCCTGGTGTTATGCTGGTCCTCTCCTGGTGTTATCACACAGTAGCAGTGTGGTTTGACAGGAGTCAATATGACTTCTATCAAAACAGTAGCAGGGTGGTTCAGGAGCAGTTACTACTTAAATCTAACTTCCTAAAGGTCCTATATCAGGCTTTTCTTCATGTTTCACACTCAGTCCTCTGCACATGTGTGATAATGTGTATGATACACCACACAACAATCAAAGCTTGTGAGATTAGAGCCATCTCTTGTATAGAGGTGACGTCACCTCGACTCAAACGAGCTGATCCAGAGAAGTTTGCTCCTCTGTCTGTGAGCCCGCCTCCCCCCGCCCGCACGCTGACGTAGCATCACGCTTTTGTCGTTTATCACCTGTACTTAGTCATTTCATACATAAGAATAAACTTTTTCCAACAATGACAATCCGTCACATCGAGCCCTATGTCCTCGATACACAATCAGAACCTAGTTATTTAGTTTACAGAAGTATACAGCGAGTTAGCGTCACTACTTACAGATCGAGGGGGTCCGAGTTACGTCTTTTACTGTGGGAATAACGTGTTTCCAGATCAGCTTTTGAGTAAGTCCAGTTCCATTGTCCCTGTAGTTCTGGAACAGTCTCAGTGAAGTGTCGCAGATGAACCGGTATTATAATAGATCCATGAGATGAACAGATGAAAAAAGTCGAGCCGCTTTCTTCCTCTTAGGGCCAAATAGTGTGTCACATATTTACACCCATAACACACTTCATTCAAGTTGACGTGATCCTAACACTTTTAGTTTCTGACAAAAGCATAAAAACAGCAGCTCTATGTGGTGTCCGGAGACCAGACCACAGACGCTGGACTCGGGAGCCGGAGCCTGTGCGCTCTGATTCGCTGTTTTGATCCGTCAATCACCTCCCGCCGGCTTTTAATTTATTTGTATTTTTATTATTTTTGACAAAAAACAGCATACTAATTGTGTATTGTTTACCCCGTTTTGACAAAAGTATTTAAAAACTATTTTAAATACAAAGCAAACGGGGTCATGCGCGTCATCAGTGTGGTTTTCGTCACTGAAGTGGACCCGAGCGTTTCTGTGCCTCACGCTGGGGAAGGAGACAGATTGCTCTCTTACAAAAGATTGACAGAATCAATGAATAAACTTCTGTGGGCTTGTGTATGAAGGCCAAATAGCATTGTAATCATGTTTAAAGCAGAGAAAAGTCAAAAACCGTGACATGGGCCCTTTAAACAAAACTTTGCCTCTTAAAACCCACATTTAACACGGAACCATCAACATCTCGCCTCAAATTGTATTAACGCCTTATTAACCGAGCGCGAGGTCTGTATGGGGAAATATCAGACCGCGGCCTTAATGTACAGACCGAGCAAGCGAGGTTAATAAATGTTTTATTATATGACTCTCGTCTGTGTCTTTACCAAAGCTTTTGAGATATTTGTGAAGTATGTTCATGTCCAACTTGGTTTTGTGTGATACGGGCTGCGGACAGATTGTCATGGTAACGGTCCGAGATGGGAAAATATCAGACCGGTAATCAGCCAATCAGAGCGCACGTACGGTCCAAGTCATGTAATAATAAAAGTTATCGTATTAATTTGTTTGTATTTAAACTTTTAAAACAATTCAGACTTTGTCGGCCATCTTAGTTTGCTTCGGCGGCTGTGAGTGTATCTTGACAAGACAGTGCAAACCAATGTTATACCGGTCCTCTCCTGTCCTTCTGGTGTCCTTCTGGTTCTCTCCTCCTCCCTCTCCTCCTCCTGGCCCTCTCCTCCTCCTGGTCATCTCCTCCTCCCGGTCCTCTCCTCCTCCTGGCCCTCTCCTCCTCCCGGTCCTCTCCTCCTCTCGGTCCTCTCCTCCTCCTGGCCCTCTCCTCCTCCTGGCCCTCTCCTCCTCCTGGCCCTCTCCTCCTCCTCCTGGTCCTCTCCTCCTCCCGGTCCTCTCCTCCCCCCCTCTCCTCCTGGTCCTCTCCTCCCCCCCTCCTGGTCCTCTCCTCCTCCCGGTCCTCTCCTCCTCCCGGTCCTCTCCTCCCCCCCTCTCCTCCCGGTCCTCTCCTCCCGGTCCTCTCCTCCTGGTCCTCTCCTCCTCCTGGTCCTCTCCTCCTCCTGGTCCTCTCCTCCTCCCGGTCCTCTCCTCCTGGTCCTCTCCTCCTCCTGGTCCTCTCCTCCCCCTCTTCTCCTGGTCCTCTCCCCCCCCCCCTCTCCTCCTGGTCCTCTCCTCCTCCCGGTCCTCTCCTCCTCCCGGTCCTCTCCTCCCGGTCTTCTCCTCCTGGTCCTCTCCTCCTCCTCCCCCTCTCCTCCTGGTCCTCTCCTCCTCCCGGTCCTCTCCTCCTCCCGGTCCTCTCCTCCCGGTCTTCTCCTCCTGGTCCTCTCCTCCTCCTCCCCCTCTCCTCCTGGTCCTCTCCTCCTCCTGGTCCTCTCCTCCCGGTCCTCTCCTCCTCCCTGACTCCTGCATGTGTGTGTTTCAGGCTCGTTACTGGAGCTCCACCAACACGAAGAACGAGGTGCATGGGGAGGTGCTGAACCGCTCGGGGGAGGTGGTGCACCGCTTCGGAGGCTTCTGGCACGAGGGCATCTTCTGTGACACTCTGGCCACGCCCAAGTGCATCTGGAAGCCCAGTACGTAGCACTTTACCAACACACGGAGACACTCGGAGCAAACTCTTGTAACTCACAGATGACAGGGATATGAAGATATGGCCGGCACGGTGGCTGAGTGGATAGCACTCTCGCCTCTCAGCAAGAAGGTCCTGGGTTCGAATCCCGGCCGGACCAGGGCCTTTCTGAGTGGAGTTTGCATGTTCTCCCTGTGTCTGCGTAGGTTTCCTCCGGGTACTCCGGTTTCCCCTACCACTAAAAATATGTACAATAGGTCTGGCATGTGCCTCCTGTTCGGCGACCCCGCTCCCATCTCTGTGTGGAGTGAGAGACAAATGCCCAAAAAATAACAATTGTAAATTGCTTTGTGGTCTGTGAAAAGCGGTATATAAATAAAGATTACTTACTTACTACTTACTTACTTACATATGAAGACTAGATATGGTCTCTATCTCTCTCTCTCTCTGGTCTCTCTCTGGTCTATCTCAGGTCTCTCTGGTCTCTCTCTGGTCTCTCTCTCTGGTCTCTCTCTGGTCTCTCTCTCTGGTCTCTCTCTCTGGTCTCTCTCTCTGGTCTCTCTTTGGTCTCTCTCTGGTCTCTCTCTCTGGTCTCTCTTTGGTCTCTCTCTGGTCTCTCTCTCTCTCTTGTCTCTCTGGTCTCTCTCTCTCTCTCTGGTCTCTCTCTGGTCTCTCTCTGGTCTCTCTCTGGTCTTTCTCTCTGGTCTCTCTCTGGTCTCTCTCTGGTCTCTCTTTGGTCTTTCTCTCTGGTCTCTCTCTGGTCTCTCTCTGGTCTCTCTCTCTGGTCTCTCTCTGGTCTCTCTCTGGTCTCTCTTTGGTCTTTCTCTCTCTCTCTCTGGTCTCTCTCTGGTCTCTCTCTCTGGTCTCTCTCTGGTCTCTCTTTGGTCTTTCTCTCTGGTCTCTCTCTGGTCTCTCTCTGGTCTCTCTCTCTGGTCTCTCTCTCTGGTCTCTCTCTCTGGTCTCTCTCTCTGGTCTCTCTCTGGTCTCTCTCTCTGGTCTCTCTCTCTGGTCTCTCTCTGGTCTCTCTCTCTGGTCTCTCTTTGGTCTCTCTCTGGTCTCTCTCTCTGGTCTCTCTTTGGTCTCTCTCTGGTCTCTCTCTCTCTCTTGTCTCTCTGGTCTCTCTTTGGTCTCTCTCTCTCTCTTGTCTCTCTGGTCTCTCTTTGGTCTCTCTCTGGTCTCTCTCTCTCTGGTCTCTCTTTGGTCTCTCTCTGGTCTCTCTCTCTCTGGTCTCTCTCTCTGGTCTCTCTCTTGTCTCTCTGGTCTCTCTTTGGTCTCTCTGGTCTCTCTCTCTGGTCTCTCTTTGGTCTCTCTCTGGTCTCTCTCTCTCTGGTCTCTCTCTTGTCTCTCTGGTCTCTCTCTGGTCTCTCTGGTCTCCCTCTGGTCTCTCTTTCTCTGGTCTCTCTGGTCTCTCTCTTGTCTCTTTGGTCTCTCTGGTCTCTCTCTCTGGTCTCTCTCTGGTCTCTCTCTCTCTCTTGTCTCTCTGGTCTCTCTTTGGTCTCTCTCTGGTCTCTCTCTCTCTGGTCTCTCTTTGGTCTCTCTTTGGTCTCTCTCTGGTCTCTCTCTCTCTGGTCTCTCTCTCTGGTCTCTCTCTCTGGTCTCTCTCTGGTCTCTCTCTCTCTCTCTCTGGTCTCTCTTGTCTCTCTGGTCTCTCTCTCTGGTCTCTCTTTGGTCTCTCTCTGGTCTCTCTCTCTCTCTGGTCTCTCTCTCTCTGGTCTCTCTCTCTGGTCTCTCTTTGGTCTCTCTCTGGTCTCTCGCTCTCTCTGGTCTCTCTCTCTCTGGTCTCTCTCTCTCTGGTCTCTCTCTCTCTGGTCTCTCTCTCTCTGGTCTCTCTCTCTGGTCTCTCTCTCTCTCTTGTCTCTCTGGTCTCTCTTTGGTCTCTCTCTGGTCTCTCTCTCTGGTCTCTCTCTGGTCTCTCTCTTGTCTCTCTGGTCTCTCTTTGGTCTCTCTGGTCTCTCTCCTCTGGTCTCTCTCTGGTCTCTCTCTCTCTCTGGTCTCTCTCTCTCTCTGGTCTCTCTCTCTCTCTGGTCTCTCTCTCTCTCTGGTCTCTCTCTTGTCTCTCTCTTGTCTCTCTGGTCTCTCTCTGGTCTCTCTCTGGTCTCTCTCTGGTCTCTCTCTCTCTCTCTGGTCTCTCTCTCTCTGGTCTCTCTCTCTCTGGTCTCTCTCTCTGGTCTCTCTCTTGTCTCTCTGGTCTCTCTCTCTCTGGTCTCTCTCTCTGGTCTCTCTCTTGTCTCTCTGGTCTCTCTTTGGTCTCTCTGGTCTCTCTCTCTCTGGTCTGAAAACTATTGATAGAAGCAAGTTTGATAAATGTTTCTGGTTTAAAAGTAGGGTACCAGAGCTTTACAGTGCTCTGTAGGAGAAGTGCATTGTGGGTGTCCTCGTCTGCCTCGCTCTGGCTCGTTCTGATCAGTTGTTGTTTGACAGACGAGCAGCCGGACGACCATCACCAGTTCTACGGTTTCTCTCGTTACGCTCGAGAACTCAACGAACTGACGCCGCAGCTGCAGAAGGTTCTGCCGCCGACCGACACCCGCCACCGCCCGGACCAGAGGCGAGTCTGACTCCTCGTACAGGCTGACACCAGGCTGACACCAGGCCGACACCAGGCCGACACCAGGACTAGGCTCCATCACAAGCTTTTCTCAGAACTGATACTAATATTTAGTGATCACCGAAGTCAAAAAAAATATTTAGAAATCCATATTTTCATTTGCTGCAAACTCTAAAGGGTTAAATAGTTTTTTCAGTGTTGGTGCTTCTACATTTTAGAAAATCAAAAAACTAAAACTTCAAGGAGAACATTAAAGGTCCTATATCACGCTTTTCTTCATGTTTCACACTCAATCCTATACACATGTGTGATATTAATGTGTATGATACACCACACAACAATCAAAGCTTGTGAGATTAGAGCCATCTCTTGTATAGAGGTGACGTCACCTCGACTCAAACGAGCTGATCCAGAGAAGAGTCTGCTCCTCTGCCTGTGAGCCCGCCTCCCCCCGCCCATACGGTGACGTAGCATCACGCTTTTGTCGTTTATCACCTGTACTTAGTCATTTCATACATAAGAATAAACTTTTTCCAACAATGACAATCCGTCACATCGAGCCCTATGTCCTCGATGCACAATCAGACCCTAGTTATTTAGTTTACAGAAGTATACAGCGAGTTAGCGTCACTACTTACAGATCGAGGGGGTCCGAGTTACGTCTTTTACCGTGGGAATAACGTGTTTCCAGATCAGCTTTTGAGTAAGTCCAGTTCCATTGTCCCTGTAGTTCTGGAACAGTCTCAGTGAAGTGTCGCAGATGAACCGGTTTATAATAGATCCATGAGATGAACAGATGAAAAAAGTCGAGCCGCTTTCTTCCTCTTAGGGCCAAATAGTGTGTCACATATTTACACCCATAACACACTTCATTCAAGTTGACGTGATCCTAACACTTTTAGTTTCTGACAAAAGCATAAAAACAGCAGCTCTATGTGGTGTCCGGAGACCAGACCACAGACGCTGGACTCGGGAGCCGGAGCCTGTGCGCTCTGATTCGCTGTTTTGATCCGTCAATCACCTCCCGCCGGCTTTTAATTTATTTGTATTTTTATTATTTTTGACAAAAAACAGCATACTAATTGTGTATTGTTTACCCCGTTTTGACAAAAGTATTTAACAACTATTTTAAATACAAAGCAAACGGGGTCATGCGCGTCATCAGTGTGGTTTTCGTCACTGAAGTGGACCCGAGCGTTTCTGTGCCTCACGCTGGGGAAGGAGACAGATTGCTCTCTTACAAAAGATTGACAGAATCAATGAATAAACTACTGTGGGCTTGTGTATGAAGGCCAAATAGCATTGTAATCATGTTTAAAGCAGAGAAAAGTCAAAAACCGTGATATGGGCCCTTTAACAAAAAAATAGTTCCTTTTTTTTTTCTTTGAACCTTTAGTTTTTATAATTATAGTCCTTGACAAAACGGTTGATGCAGTTTGATGGTAACAGTGTCTAAAACCGTGAGACGCCTCAATCAAGTAGATTTCGGTTCCAAGCTTCAGATCCACCAAATGGTCGAGGAAACCTTTAAAGGGTAAAATGTCTGAAGCCAGATGTGAACAAAACTAATCACACAAATGTTATTCTCTGTATTTGTGCATCGCCCTAAACCACAACAGCAATGGTCTTGGAGGACTTTGATTTGCTATAGATCTATGTTTTACTATATGACAAAACCTGGAGAACATTTATAAAATATACCATAACACATGATCTTGAATGAATAGTATTAGCCGTGTTACATTTTAAATCCTTTGGGGAGCTACAGGCTGGAGACCCCTGTTCTACAAAGTTGTGGATTCACCAACAACAGATCAGATACAATAATAACAAACACAGAAGGAGCCATTGGTCCAAAAGAACGACCACAGAAACGTTTCTAAATGTTTCTGTGGATCTAAATGAACTCTCCTTTTCAAAGTTAATACTCCATAAGAACACATCCTCAGACTGTGACGCACTGGCCTCATGTGTGCTGGTGTGTGTCCTGTGTCTTCCTGGTTCTGGTGTGTGTGTTGTCTTGCTGGTACTGGTGTGTGTGTGTTGTGTCTTCCTGGTACTGATGTGTCTTGTGTGTCTTTTGTCTTCCTGGTTCTGGTGTGTGTGTTGTCTTGCTGGTACTGGTGTGTGTGTGTTGTGTCTTCCTGGTACTGGTGTGTCTTTTGTCTTCCTTGTTCTGGTGTGTGTGTGTTGTGTCTTCCTGGTACTGGTGTGTCTTTTGTCTTCCTGGTTCTGGTGTGTGTGTTGTGTCTTGTGTGTGTTGTGTCTTCCTGGTACCGATGTGGGTTGTGTGTCTTCCTGGTTGTGGGTTGTGTGTCTTCCTGGTTCTGGTGTGTCTTGTGTCTTCCTGGTACTGATGTGTCTTTTGTCTTCCTGGTACTGATGTGTCTTGTGTGTCTTTTGTCTTCCTGGTACTGGTGTGTCTTTTGTCTTCCTGGTACTGATGTGTCTTTTGTCTTCCTGGTACTGGTGTGTCTTATGTGTCTTGTGTGTCTTTTGTCTTCCTGGTTCTGGTGTGTCTTTTGTCTTCCTGGTACTGATGTGTCTTGTGTGTCTTTTGTCTTCCTGGTACTGGTGTGTCTTATGTGTCTTGTGTGTCTTTTGTCTTCCTGGTTCTGGTGTGTGTGTTGTGTCTTGTGTGTGTTGTGTTCCTGGTACTGATGTGTCTTGTGTGTCTTTTGTCTTCCTGGTACTGGTGTGTCTTTTGTCTTCCTGGTACTGGTGTGTCTTTTGTCTTCCTGGTACTGGTGTGTCTTTTGTCTTCCTGGTACTGGTGTGTGTTGTGTCTTCCTGATACTGGTGTGTGTTTCTTTTGTCTTCGTGGTTCTGGTGTGTGTTGTGTCTCCCTGATACTGGTGTGTGTGTCCTGTGTCTTCCTGGTTCTGGTGTGTGTGTCCTGTGTCTTCCTCGTACTGGTGTGTGTTGTGTCTCCCTGATACTGGTGTGTGTGTCCTGTGTCTTCCTGGTACTGGTGTGTGTTTTGTCTTCTGATACTGGTGTGTGTGTCCTGTGTCTTCCTGGTACTGGTGTGTGTTGTGTCTCCCTGATACTGGTGTGTGTGTCCTGTGTCTTCCTGGTACTGGTGTGTGTTTTGTCTTCTGATACTGGTGTGTGTGTCCTGTGTCTTCCTGGTACTGGTGTGTGTTTTGTCTTCTGATACTGGTGTGTGTGTCCTGTGTCTTCCTGGTACTGGTGTGTGTTGTGTCTCCCTGATACTGGTGTGTGTGTCCTGTGTCTTCCTCGTACTGGTGTGTGTTGTGTCTCCCTGATACTGGTGTGTGTGTCCTGTGTCTTCCTGGTACTGGTGTGTGTTTTGTCTTCTGATACTGGTGTGTGTGTCCTGTGTCTTCCTGGTACTGGTGTGTGTTGTGTCTCCCTGATACTGGTGTGTGTGTCCTGTGTCTTCCTGGTACTGGTGTGTGTTTTGTCTTCTGATACTGGTGTGTGTGTCCTGTGTCTTCCTGGTACTGGTGTGTGTTTTGTCTTCTGATACTGGTGTGTGTGTCCTGTGTCTTCCTGGTACTGGTGTGTGTGTGTGTCTCCCTGATACTGGTGTGTGTGTCCTGTGTCTTCCTGGTACTGGTGTGTGTTGTGTCTCCCTGATACTGGTGTGTGTGTGTGTCTTATCTTCCTGGTACTGGTGTGTGTTGTGTCTCCCTGATACTGGTGTGTGTTGTGTCTCCCTGATACTGGTGTGTGTGTCCTGTGTCTTCCTGGTACTGGTGTGTGTTTTGTCTTCTGATACTGGTGTGTGTGTGTCTTATCTTCCTGGTTCTGGTGTGTGTTTTGTCTTCCTGGTACTGGTGTGTGTTGTGTCTCCCTGATACTGGTGTGTGTGTCCTGTGTCTTCCTGGTACTGGTGTGTGTTGTGTCTCCCTGATACTGGTGTGTGTGTCCTGTGTCTTCCTGGTACTGGTGTGTGTTGTGTCTCCCTGATACTGGTGTGTGTGTCCTGTGTCTTCCTGGTACTGGTGTGTGTTGTGTCTCCCTGATACTGGTGTGTGTGTCCTGTGTCTTCCTGGTACTGGTGTGTGTTGTGTCTCCCTGATACTGGTGTGTGTGTGTGTCTTATCTTCCTGGTACTGGTGTGTGTTGTGTCTCCCTGATACTGGTGTGTGTGTGTGTCTTATCTTCCTGGTACTGGTGTGTGTTGTGTCTCCCTGATACTGGTGTGTGTGTCCTGTGTCTTCCTGGTACTGGTGTGTGTTTTGTCTTCTGATACTGGTGTGTGTGTCCTGTGTCTTCCTGGTACTGGTGTGTGTTTTGTCTTCTGATACTGGTGTGTGTGTCCTGTGTCTTCCTGGTACTGGTGTGTGTTGTGTCTCCATGGTCCTAAGTGTCCGCTGGTCCTCCTCAGGCTCCTGGAGGAAGGGAAAGTGGCGGAGGCCGATAAGAAAAAAGACTATGTGGAGCAAAAGCAACGAGAGCAAAGGAAGGAGCTGACCAAGAGGAACGAGGAGCACCAGGCGCGGTTCTTCTAGTGAGCAACACACAACAGGCCAACACACACACTGACGCACAAACACAAACACACACACACACAAGTCTTAGACGGGTTTTTAATGGAGCAGTCTGTAAAAGTGTGGCCAAAAGTGGTACTGCAGCCTCTCCCACTCTCCCTGACTCAGGTTGCCAGATATGCAGACGAATCCAGCTGGGACCATAACAGCTGAATAGACAAGAGTTTTGTCAACAACAAATCTATAACCAACACCTTTTTCACAAAGATAGAAATCCTGGTTTTATATTTGTAAACAAGAAAAGTAATTTAGAAATTAAAATATCTGAACTACTGTTATCAGTTAAAGAAGTATTCCAAAAGAGCACTTTATTATTATGACAGATTAGGGCCCTTTAATGAGGACAGATTAGGGCCCTTTAATGATTACAGCTGAGGGCCCTTTTAATGAGGACAGATTAGGGCCCTTTTAATGAGGACAGATTAGGGCCCTTTTAATGAGGACAGATTAGGACCCTTTTAATGAGGACAGATTAGGGCCCTTTAATGATGACAGATTAGGGCCCTTTATGACAGATTAGGGCCCTTTAATGAGGACAGATTAGGGCCCTTTAATGAGGACAGATTAGGACCCTTTTAATGAGGACAGATTAGGGCCCTTTAATGAGGACAGATTAGGGCCCTTTATGACAGATTAGGGCCCTTTAATGATGACAGATTAGGGCCCTTCTTTAAACCCGTCTGTCGTTCTCTCTGCAGTAAATCCGTGGACGACAGCGGGCGTGAGGTGTGGCTCTACAACGGCACGTACTGGTCGACTCGGGACAATCCAGGCTTCGCCAACACCGAGAACCTGGACCTGTGGTGCTGAGACCGCGAGGACCCGTCTGAGGAGGAGCCTGGGTCCTGCTGAACCCATGAGCCCCCTCTAGTGGTGAGGGAGGAGAGGTGCAGCCGTCACAGAGACCATGAAGACCCCGGCCGGACGTCTCTGCCCACGGCTCCGTTTAAAGACCCCCCCACAGACCGAGTCCAGTCCCGTCTGTGGTTCCAGGACTCTGGATCGCCGCGGTGACAGAGTGAGAATCATCCACGCAGACGCTCCGACGGTTTCCACTGGACCTGGCTTTAAAAACGTGTAATATTTCTTGTAAAACCAACTCAAAAGTTTCCATAGGTTATATATATTTTTTATCTGGAGGTGGTTTGGCGCCGACTGCGGCTTCTGTACAAACTGTATTTATGTAAATCTGAAATCTGCCGTCGGTTTTTACGCTTTTTGACGTGTTTTTACACACGTTTCAACAATGGATTTTAGGAGAAAAGAGTCGACTGTTAACTGAACATTATTGTCTTTTCTTATAAGCTTGTTTCGAATAAAATGTTTAAGCGCAGGCCTTTTCTTTTTTAAGTCACAAGCGTGGATCAGACATGTTGGAGGCGGGGCTTTTTGGAGGCGGGGCTTATCACGGAGAGTTTTAACAGAAATGTCATATTGTGGTTTTTGGGGTAAAAGCAGCAGCACTTTTGCAGTTCTACAGACTGAATCGGGTGTTTTTTCTCCCAAAGTCCTGGACTTAGATTCAGGAGATAGAACTGGTCTCAGGGCGTTTGACAAACTCATTTTGGTCGCGGCCAAATTTACAAACATAAGAGGAGCCAGAAGTACAACAATTTTTTGTTTTTTTTGGTCTATTTTGGTCTTTTGACAAATTATTTGTATTTGACATGAGGTGGATGTTTTTTGGGCCAAATATCCAGAATGAGATGTATTGGAAGAAGTTAAATATATAAAATAAATTGAGTAACTATAACTTAATTACATTTTAGTTCACAGTTTAGGAGTTAATAATGAAGTATAACATGCCATAGTGCCATAGGAGCGACAGTAGCTCAGTTGGAGCGTTGGCCTTTGGGCCGGTGGGTCATGGGTTCAAGCCCATCACAGGATCTACTCCAACTGCTCCCACTGATGTCTGCTGTCCTTGGGCAACTTAACCCCACATTGCCTGAAGCTCCCGCTGAAACGTCAAGGCTGTGGCACCACCGATGTAGCAGCCATCTTCCTGTGGACCCACCCCCTGCAGAGGATCAAAGGGACTGGCGCCCCCCCGACCCAGAAATGGACTAATAAAGGTGTTGAAAATGAATGAATGAATGAACATGCCATAGTATCCCATTACCATCAACGCTGCAAGTTACTGTGATAATGATCATTGAAAATAAATTCAGGGGCTGCTAGAAATGTTCTCGTGGCCTGACAGGCCTGGTGTAGATAGAACTAGTTTAGAACTGTTTGCATGTGTTCTAAACCTCTGCATTATAACTGTCTGTGTTACCAACCACAGAGGGTTTGTTACGGCCTCTGTTCTGCTCTTTCAAAAGTTTGGTGTTCCTTGTTCCGGCAGCTTCATTCCAGAGAGACGAGGTCAAGTGTCACTCACAATACACCCACCATGAATATTCTCCTCTAACACTGCAAAAAATATATAAAATATGGGGTAACAATTACTTAAATCTAGTGTTTATCTCAATTTGAGCACATTCTGAGTGTGTTAAAACCAGATTCTCCAATGAGACAAAGCCATTTAGTCTTCACACTTTAATGTTCACTCGTTGAAGAAAGCATAACCCTAGTGTTTTTTGTTACAGGCCTTTACCAAATGGTCAGGAGGCAGTTTAATAATAATACATCAGTTTCATATAGTGCTTTTCAAAAACTCAGACGCTTCACAATTCAGGACACGCACACATTCAGACAGACACAAAACTAAACTAAAAGCAGGAAATAAGAGGATGAAGAGGTGAGTTTTTAAGTTTTTTGAAGGAGCGAGGTTATGGAGGGCTTTGTGGTGATGAGGATTTTGTTTGATGGAAGCCAGTGTTTATGAAGGACAGGGGTGATGTGTTCTCTGGAGCGGGTCTGAGTGATGAGGCGGGCCGCAGAGTTATGGACATAAGGCCGTATAAAAGACAGTTGCAGAAGTCGAGTCTGGAGGTTTATGAAAGCATAGATCAGGGTTTCAGCAGCGGTGGAGGACAGATATGGGTGAAGATGGGCAATGTTTTTAAGATGATGGTAAAAGTGCCTACAACCAAGTGATAGAGTCGCAACAATGAGATTTCAATTCCAAGCTTCACTTAGATCGTGATCCACCAAATGGTTGAGGAATTTATTAAAAGCGGGTTTATGCTTTTACTTACGGTAAACGTGGAACAGGAAGCCGCGGGGATGAGCAATCAAAATGAAATGTTTAAAATTCATCGTCAGAGTGAACAAGTGCGCAGTGAAAGTAATCGCAAAACTTACATTTGTTTATGATTTTTTTTTCCCTCATCCCCAGGCTTCACTTTCTACATTTACCGTAGTTAACAGTATAAAGGGGCAACCCGCTTTCAATGAGGACCACCTTACTGCGGCCGTTTTTCACTGTTCTTTCTCAAAGGAATTAGAAAAAAAAAATAATCTTTCCCCAGCGGGCTGTAAAACCAACCACACAACCAGAACGGACCATTTGATTTAGTAAAACCTCTCTCCAAACGGTCTAAAACTAGCTAACTCTCTAGCATCCAGGTAGCTCCCTCTGCTGTAGTACCATTCAGTCATGTGACCGGTGCGGAAAAACTATAAACAACGCTGTGACTCCTATTACTATCGACGATCCTCCTGTTACTTGTTTGGTAATGCCAAGTTTCAAGTATCCATCCATTTTCTTCCATTTTATCCGTTGCCGGGTCATGGAGGCAGCAGTCTAAGCAGAGACGCCCAGACCTCCCTCTCCAGATGCCTCCTGCAGCTCATCTGGGGGAACGTGTCCTGTGTCCTGGGTCTCCTCCTGGTCTCCTCCCTCTGTCTCCTGGGTCTCCTCCTGGTCTCCTCCCTCTGTGTCCTGGGTCTCCTCCTGGTCTCCTCCCTCTGTGTCCTGGGTCTCCTCCTGGTCTCCTCCCTCTGTGTCCTGGGTCTCCTCCTGGTCTCCTCCCTTTGTGTCCTGGGTCTCCTCCTGGTCTCCTCCCTTTGGGTCCTGGGTCTCCTCCTGGTCTCCTCCCTTTGTGTCCTGGGTCTCCTCCTGGTCTCCTCCCTTTGGGTCCTGGATCTCCTCCTGGTCTCCTACCTTTGGGTCCTGGGTCTCCTCCTGGTCTCCTCCCTTTGGGTCCTGGGTCTCCTCCTGGTCTCCTCCCTTTGGGTCCTGGGTCTCCTCCTGGTCTCCTCCCTCTGTCTCCTCCCTCCTGGTCTCCTCCTGGTCTCCTCCCTTTGGGTCCTGGGTCTCCTCTTGGTCTCCTCCCTCTGTCTCCTGGGTCTCCTCCTGGTCTCCTCCTGGTCTCCTCCCTTTGGGTCCTGGATCTCCTCCTGGTCCCCTCTCCGCATCCCAAACATCTTGGAGAAGCAGCGGCTCTACTGAGAGCTCCTCCTGTGTGACTGGGCTTGTATCCACAATCTCGTCCTTTAAATCATGACCCAAACCATCGTTTCAAGCATTAAACCAATAAACATTACATCATTTTGATCATTTTGCTTTGTCCCATTGGCAAATCAGTTTTAAGAAGGAGCTCAAACTAAGACACATTTTGCCAAATCTGAATTTTTTTAAACTTATTTTCCAGCACTTCTTGCAGTTTGCTTCTTGCTCTCTTCCAGACATCATCCTTAACAATAAATAACTTTTATGAGTGAGGTCATAATGTGTGTGTCCACCACAACATGCACGAGTCTCCAGCTGCAGCTTTGTTATTAAATACAGTTTAATCTTGAAGTGTATTTATTTATTCATGAATATGCCACGATTATCATAGAGTCCTCTGGTTCTGTGGTTTCATGGTCCTCATTTTCTCTCTGTTGACAAAGTATGTCTTATGGTTGACCTTCTGCTTCAGGACCTGATTTCAGTCACTGTAAAACTATAGAAGAAATGTTTAATATTTAAATCAAGAAAACTAAAACAAAGAAGCGTTAGACAGTTTTAAGCCAACGAGAAAACAATTGTATTGTTATTATTTATTATTTTTATTTGATTTTTGATGCAGTGTGCTTTGTTTCCGGTTCCCTCCGATGATTCTCTCTCGCTGTCCGTTAGCTAGCTACATGCTAACTCACAGACAGAGCTAAAAGTCCAAATCAGACACGTGTTCATAGCATTAAAGTTTTAAAGTTCCACATGTGCCTCTAGTTTGTGTTATCACCCTCACTTTCAGATCGTACAATAATCTGATCATGAAGGGTTCAAACTAAAGTCTTAGTTTAGTCCCTTTAAAAGTTCTGTGCTATTTCTTTTGCTATCACCCTCTCGTTCAAATTCAAGACAAATCCAAACACGAGGGTTGGAGCAATGCTAGTCGGTTAGCTGCTTGCTAAAGGCGATGGTAAAAGTGAACAGTTTTTCGCACTTTTACCCCCTTTATCAAGCTAACCCCATTAAACCCCTCAGTAGCTAGCATTGGGGTCTTGTAGCTAGCATTAGGGTCTTGTAGCTAGCATTGGGGTCTTGTAGCTAGCATTGGGGTCTTGTAGCTAGCATTGGGGTGTTCTGAGGGTGTGGATGTTTACTCTTCGATGGTGGGGCAGCAGCAGCATATGAAAGGCTTACAGAGACCTCTGAACACGCGGCTCAGAAAAGACTGCTTCCGCAGGTTGTGCTCGAGGTGGTACTGCAGGGACTTCAGAACCGTCTTGTCAAAAGTCCGGTCTTTTCCGTCCAAAGCACTTTCCAACATTCTCTGTGCCGTACCGTACTGCGATTTGAGGTCTTTCAAAATCGCGCCAATGATTTTACTCATTCTCTTCTCCGTTTTCTTTGCCTGGTGTTCAGAAAGCTGGATCTCCTCCCAGGCCTTTTCTGTCAAACGGTCGCGAATCACTTTGTATTTTATGTCCCACGGACGCAGAGCTGCCTTTCCCCTGAACGTCTCAATCATCAAAGCCTCTATCAGGCCTAGAGTCATGGACTGGCCCTCGGACAAGTCTCTGTCACTGATTCTTCTCATGCCCTCTGGGGTTTTCAGGACAACCGCCGGGACGTCCTCAGAGATGAAAGAAGGCAGCTCTACTTTGGGAGGCACCATGGACCTCTCGAACAGGTCGTACTTGTGACTCCTAAAAGAATTCTCAGAGACGCCTGAGATTGTCCTGGTGCTGACCTCTGGTGTGCGTAAGACGATCGCTGGAACGTCTCTAGAGATCTGCGATGGCACACAGGCTCTGGGGTGCACCATAGACCTCTCAAACAGGTCGTGTTTCTGGCTGTTGAAAGACTGCCCTGACAGATGTTGAAAGTCCACCTGGACGGGAACCGACCCTTGAGAAGGAATGGACACATAATACGTCAGGGCCTGCTGGGAGTTGGGCGACAGAGGCGGCTTCTCCATGCACAACTCAAACAGATCCTGGCGGTAGAAGTTCTCCAATGGGTCTTGCGCTATGTAATCCTGGAGGCTTTGAAGGTAATTTGAAACCTCGCTCTGCACCGTGGCGTATGTCTGCTGCAGGCTATAGCGCCTGAGCTTACATCTTACTCTTGTTTTCTGTGTGTATGTCTCCTCAGGATCTTGGTTCTGGAACTCACTCCTTATGTTTGGTGACGCAGCAAGAGAAAGTCCGTTTAGGATCTGAAAGTGACAGTACATTGTGTCTGTCAGTGTCTTAACAAAGGCAGTGGTTTGCTCACTATCCAAGGCCTGGGCCAGTCTTTCTCGACTTGTTTCTGCGTCAGGACTTGTCGACAGATCTAACTTTCTAAACAACTCTTCTATTTCTGGTTGAAACTGCTCAAAACTAACTTCTGGAGTTTTTCCCAGGTCTGGGAAACTTCCACAGCTCGTTTCTGGCTCTATCTCTTCAACCAAAAATTCTGCCTCCAGATCTTTCTGCATGCTTCGGAAATTCTTTTTGGAGAATCTGAGGAAGCTGCAGCGGCACGGCCCACTTTCCGAAGATTCCGACTTCTTTGTGGCAGTGCGGCGGCCGCAGGAACAGAACAAGGAGCAAAGGCACCTCTTGAGGCAGGAGTTTCCCTTCTCGATCATGCTGCGAGCCACACTCTCGCTGCTGATGAGGGAGTCCACCATCATAGAGCCCTCCTCCTGCTCCTCAGAAAGGACACGGTTCACCTTCGCAGACACCTCCTGCTCGATCAGGGTGGTGAGCTCCTGCGAGTCCTGGTGTTTGTCCAACGAGTCCGTGGGCAGATTCAGAGCCTGAGAGAACACTTGCCCCATGGTGTCCTGCAGCACAGTGACAATAGATCCATGAGCTCGGGTCGTCTCGCTCTCACTCAGGAACCTGTTGTTCACCTCGCGTCTCGGAACCATCAGACCCAAGACGTTGGCGGACAGCGTTTGGACCAGCGAGATAAACATGGCGGTCAGAATACGCCTGGTCTCCAAGTCGCACATGCCTATGGACAACATCACCCACTGACTGCCACTGATCTGCTCAAAGTGGCTCCTCACGATCTGCAGCGAGGCCTCCGACGAGACCGAGATCTCACTGAAGCGATCCATTCTCTACAGATGAGTCTAAAGAATAAAGAATTAAAGGTACTAGGGTTCTACGACACCTGGTTCTATGACACCTGGTTCTACGACACCAGGTTCTGTGACCCGTTTATCCGCGACATGTGTTAAACTTGCTTTGACTCACTTTGACTCCCGTTGACCCACACACGCGATCTCTGGTGGAGAATCTCGATGACCTCATCAGAATGACATGATGGCTCCATGGCAACCATCTGTTGCCGTGGAGACGAGTGAGTTGACTGTGGAGTTGTGAAGTGGGCGGGGCTTTCAGGTTCTGAAATTAAATTCCAGAACTCTTTGGTGTGTTTTGGTGGTTGCCGTGACAACACATCAACAACACAACAATCAAACACACAAAGCTGTAACTGCAGCTGTTTATTCTGCATTGATACAAGTTCATGATTATTATAGGACGAGTTTGGAAACACAGAGTTTATATAATATATAGTTTCATATATATTTGGTTAAAGAATGTTGTTTCAGACGATACGACACAAACACAAGTGACAGTCGGGACATAAAAAGCTGCTCAGTGATGGAGGCAGAGGGAGCATGTGTCAGTCTGCCCCAGGGCAGCTGTGGCTACAGTAGTAGTTTATCCCACTGTGTATGGAGTGAAAGAATAATGCCATGTGAGGCGTCTTTGAGTGTCCATAATTCTGTTTTCTCTTCAAACCGCTGCATTATCACAGGCCCTAACCAGGCCCTGCCCTGCTTAGCCTCAGAGGTCTGACAGGATCTGGCTTTTCAATCAATCAATTATTTGTATAGCACAATTTGTTTACAAGGCAATTCAAAGTGCTTTACAAGAAACACAGATCAAAATGCATTAAAAAATCAATAAATATTCAATAATTTAATATTAAGATAAAGCAGCATAAAAGTTTGAGGTTTAAAAAAGGCCAATAAAAGTAATAAGTATCAGTCAGTTGTATGCACAGCTAAAGATATGTTTTCAGCCTGGTTTTGAACACGGTCAGAGAGGTCAACCACAGGAGGGCCGTTCCATATCCTAGCAGCATAAATCTGAAACGCTGCCTCCCCATGTTTAGTCCTGACTCTGGGCACCTGCAGGAGGCCAGTCCCTGTGCTCCTCAGAGTCCGAGCAGGAGGCCAGTCCCTGTGCTCCTCAGAGTCCGAGCAGGAGGCCAGTCCCTGTGCTCCTCAGAGTCCCAGCAGGAGGCCAGTCCCTGTGCTCCTCAGAGTCCGAGCCGGCTCATATGGCACTCGTACTGTATGTCACGGATGTACCCCGGTGCAAGGCCATGGAGAGACTTGAACACAAGCAGAGCTGTTTTAAAGTCTGTTCTCTGAGCCACAGGAAGCCAGTGCAGAGACCTGAGGGTCAGCACTAGATCATAGACGGAATCTGGACGGAAGCGGAAGTAAATATAACAAATACCTTTTCATGCCTAAACTTAACCAGCCCTTTCCATAAAATAACCCCAACCCAGCCTTAACCCTAAACTTAACCATCTTACTCAGACGCCTAAAACTTAACCAGTCACCATTTAAGGACTTATTAGTCTAAAAATAATTTGAAAGTAGGAGTGTTCCGGTTTCGTCCCGATTCCGTTTATGATCTAGTGCCGACCGAGACCTGAGAACTGGACTAATGTGGTCATACTTCCTGGTTCTAGTCAGGACTAATGTGGTCGTACTTCCTGGTTCTAGTCAGGACTAATGTGGTCGTACTTCCTGGTTCTAGTCAGGACTAATATGGTCGTACTTCCTGGTTCTAGTCAGGGCTCGAGCTGCTGCATTTTGAATGTACTGCAGCTGTTTTACAGCCTGTTTGGACAGACCTGTGAGCAGGCCATTGCAGTAGTCTAACCTACTGGAGACAAATGCATGGATAAGAATCTCCAAGTCTGCTTTAGACACTATGTTTTTGATCCTGGCAATGTTTTTTAGATGGTAAAAAGCTGCTGATGTTACTGATTTGATGTGGCGATTAAAATTCAGATCAGAGTCCATTATCACACCCAGATTTCTGACCTGATTTTTAGGTTTCAAGTGAAGGGATTTAATATGATTTGACACAATGTCTCTTTGCTTTTGGGGACCAAAAAACAATCACTTCAGTTTTATCGGTAGTTAGCTGAAGAAAATTGTCCACCGGACTATATTCACCGGCTGATAGTGAAACATAGATCTGAGTGTCATCTGCATACTTGTGGTATGACACATTATGGCCACTGATCAACTAACCCAATGGAAGCAAGTCGATATTAAACAGAAGTGGTCCCGGGATTGATCCCTGTGGCACTCCACATGTCATGGCCTTGTGATATTGAGTGTCCCATCTCAACATAATATTTCCTATCCTCCAGATATGACTTCAACCATTTTAGGACAGTGCCAGACTCCCACCCACTCCATGGTCCACAGTGTCAAAGGCAGCACTGAGATCTAAGAGGATCTAAAATAAAAGGGAGGATTTAATATAAAAGGGAGATTTGATATGGGCCGATAGTTACTGACTACTGCAGGATCAAGAGCCCTCTTTTTAAAGAGTGGTCTGATCACTGCTGTTCTCAGGGTTTTAGGGAAGGTTCACAACATGGCTGAGGGTTTGGAGGAGACTGCTGAGAACAGACTTTTGGTTGGTAGTGTGTCAAGGCCACAGGTGGATGAGCTCAGGCTCGAGATTAGTAGAGGTCCATGACACCTGCAGGTGGCGCTGTCTCTATGAATGGTTTCTGAAATCATCTCTAACAACACATGGCTCAATCAACAATGAACAACTAAGATTTAATACTTTCTTCTTTATTATGCTAAAGTTAGATGTTAATGTACTTTAGTAAAGAGTTATTGTTCATTCTTGGTTTTGGAGACGGCTATTGTTATTGAAAAAAAAAACTCTTCCTGCTCTGAACAGAGCAGTCGCATTCTCTTGCTGCTCCTCGCTTGCTGCTTTTTTATCTCCTTTAATCATTTTTGCTTACATTTTTATTCCACAAAACACGGATTACTCCTTTTTACAAACTTCAACACAAGACTTGTGGAATTTACCTAACTTACAGCATGTCGGAATTGGGGCTGAACACAACAATACCAGTGAAGGGAAATGGACCAAATGGACAGAACGTAAGTTATGATGACGCTATTTCATTTCCCAAAATCAACAGAGACAATTGTTGGAACACATATGGTGCCAAGCCCAAACAAGGCAAAGCTAATCATAACAAGAGTGTCATAATGCCACAGACAAGAAACCGCTTTTCACCACTTTTGGAAGATGAATCAGCAGTAGCCTCTCAGTCCCAGTCTCAGTCTCAGTCAAGGTCAAATGCAGCTGAGTCGCTCTTTATCGGGGATTCTGCGATAAGACATGTAAACATGCGTAATCTCAAGGTTCACTCAGTACACTCTGCCAAAGTGGATGAGATAAGGCCGTTGGCTCCGAGGCTTCTGTCTGAGACCGGCGGGGTAAAAAGATTGTTGATCCACGTGGGGGCAGTAGACGTCTATGACAACACAAGTGAAAAGTTGAAACGGGATTACTCTCTCTTATTGGACAACCTTGCTAAAATGGATGCAACAATCGTTATCAGTGGCCCACTACCAAATGTGGACGGGAAGCAAATGAAATTCAGTCGTCTGTATCAGCTAAATACTTTCCTACTCAACGAATGTTCACGCAGAGATTGAGAATTTTAATCTGTTCTGGAATAGGCATGAGCTTTTTGAAGGGAAAGGGTTACATCTGAACACTTACGGAGTAAAAGTGTTGATGGATAACCTTTCTTTTGCCCTGAGACCTCAGCCTGCGCAGCGCGTGCAGCCATCGAAAGGGAGGAAGCCGACTCTAAAAGTCTCTGCACCTCCACCACCTCGAAGGATCTCAACACCACCACCACCTCGAAGGATCTCAACACCATCACAACCTCAAAGGATCTCAACACCTCCACTGTCATCAGAAGCAGCTGCATCATCACCAGCAGCAGCTGCATCATCACCAGCAGCAGCTGCATCATCACCAGTAGCAGCACCAGCAGCACGACCACCACCAACATCCTCATCCCCAGCCTGCTCCGAAGCAGCCACGCCTTCTTCATCTACAGCGCCTCTGAAGCCCCCATCCTCACCCCAGGCTACAGCAGACAGGCCTGTGCTGGGGTTTCCTCAACCACCTGCCCCTCCATCAAAGACTCCCTCGCCACCTCCCATGGACCTGTCTTGGGTCCCCCCTGCCACGTCCACTCCATCAAGAGAGAATGGGGACACCTCCCTTTGTTTTTCATCCCCACCTTCACTGTTAGACCTACCTGAACACTCTGCAGGGCTAATAAAATCGGCGATGAAGACTATTCCTCTCACACCCATATTAGCTTGATCTAGAGTCCTGTCCAACATGCTAAACCACTCCCCATATGTACCTCCAAAACCACCTACAAAAACCACCTCAGCCAGTCCCTCCCCTAACCTCATGACCATTCCACCCCCACTTCCCCCTCGTTCAACACCCAAAACCTCTGCCTCAGCCCACCCCGGCCCTAACCCATCACCAAAAACCCCTCCACCTCCCTGCCCCCCTCGTTCAACACCCAAAAGCCACCCACCTCTCCATCCTCCTCCCCCGCCTTCCCCTCCCCCTCTTCTCTCTAAACCAGGGGTGCCCAAACCTTTTGCTTCCAAGGGCCAAAGTAAAAATTTGCCAGTGGGCCGCGGGCCAAATACACCAATATTATGCATGAAACACAAATAAATGTAGATTTGATCAAGTTCTTTTAAATGCATTAATTATTGTCTATCAGTGTAAATCACAGCTGAATGAATGAAATCAACACAGTCTTAGTGAAATGGAGACTCCAGGGAAATATGCAGGTTTGAGGAGACTACAGTACGGAAAGATTCCGGCGGGTAATCAGGGTCCAGAGGAGGGAGATTTTCTGTCATGGCTTATTTAAAGGTTAAAATCATATAATAAAACCTCAAAAAGAGAACAGAAACATACATTTTGTGTGCACCATGTGCACTTG